TCAGGAGTTAAAACCTTTTTCCTAGGTCAGTGGGTTTACTTGTCTCACTTTCTCACGCTTTCTGAGGAGCGCGGTAAAAAAAAATAGAATACTCCGGTGCCATTTCTAGGTTAAGAATATATATATATATTTTTTTTTTGACAGGCAGAGTGGACAGTGAGAGAGAGAGACAGAGAGAAAGGTCTTCTTTTGCCGTTGGTTCACCCTCCAATGGCCGCCGCGGCCGGCGCACCACGCTGATCCGAAGGCAGGAGCCAGGTGCTTCTCCTGGTCTCCCATGGGGTGCAGGGCCCAAGCACCTGGGCCATCCTCCACTGCACTCCCGGGCCACAGCAGAGAGCTGGCCTGGAAGAGGGGCAACCGGGACAGAATCCGGCTCCCCAACCGGGACTAGAACCCGGTGTGCTGGCGCCACAAGGTGGAGGATTAGCCTGGTGAGCCGCGGTGCCAGCCCTAGGTTAAGAATATTAAGAACAGATATGGATGCAGGCCAGAAGAGTTACAAGTCAGAATATAATTCATTTGCCAAAAAACAAGATTAAGGAGTTCGATTATCATTTCCATATAAAAATAGAGTTATGGAGAATGATGTCCCAAGTGTATTTTATCTCTGTAGTATATCAGCATCTGCTTTTTTTACCTTAGCACATATAAAAATACTTGATTTGCACAAAAAAGAATCATAATATTTCTTTGAAGTGTGTCTGGTGCTATGACTAAGTTTCACATACTAATTTTGTTTCTTTTCCTCTTACCTATTTTCTTATTCAATAATATCAATCACCAAATTATGGTTATACTCAAATTAGCACAGAAATAGGCTTTCCTTCTTCAGGTATTAGTGTTTTAGGAATAAAATGTAAGTAATAGTCATATATTATGATAATGGTTGTAGATGATCATATTATCTTGTTCTATGTAATGAAATTCTTGATTTAATGATATTGGAAACTTTTAGAATATTTCTATTTAACAACAGTATTGTAAATTTTTTGAAATCTTCTTCCTATAGAAATTTGGTTAAGAAGTACTGTCCCAAACGTTCATCCAAAGATGAAGAGCCAAGGTAAATTATGTATTTATTTCTTATTGCATTTTAAAAATTTTTTAAATGTGTATTTTATTATTTAATAAAATGAATGTGCTGTTGGCTTTTTAATAAAGATTTTTATAATCTTGTTTTCATTTAAAGACAGTGTTTATGAAAGAAAGGAGTACTATTTATTTCTTATAAGGATACATATTTCAGTGAGCTTGATCAATAGTTTTCTAGGATAGCTGAAGCATGGATCCAAGTAACATATAGGCTAGTGCTATTCTTACGTGATTTAGTCTCCATAAGAAAAGGATATTTTTTCATGCTTTTTTTTGTGGTTGTCCACTTGTAAGATTTTTGCTTTTACTCTTAAACATAATAAAATATTGGCTTGTTGGTTTAAAAGCATAATGAAAAGGAATGAGATTTTTAGGGCAATTTAAAAAAATTTATCTGAGAGGCAGAGATAGACAAACAATGAGAGACAGCTAGAGGGCTCTTATCTATTTTTTTTTTTTTAAGCTTTTATTTATTTATTTGAAAGGCAGAGTTACAGAGAGTCAGAGAGAGAGGTCTTCCACCTGCTGGTTCACTCTCCAGATGGCTGCAATGGCCGGAGCTTCGCTGATCAGGAGCCAGGAGCTTCCTGTGGGTCTCCCACATGGGTGCAGGGGCCCAAGCGCTTGTGCCATCTTGTATTGCTTCCCCAGGTGATAGCAGAGAGCTGAATTGGAAGTGGAGCAGCCGGGTCTCGAACTGGTGCCCATATGGGATGCTGGCACTGCCAAGTGGCAGCTTTACCTGCTACGCCACAATGCTGGCCCTCGTTCTTATCTATTGATTCATCCTTCAGAGGCCCGCAGTGGCCTGGATCCAGGCTGAGGATGAAGCTGGGAGCCAGGAGCTCAATCCAGGTCTTCCACACAGATAGTAGGAGCCCAATAACTTGAGCTATCACCTCTGCCTCCCAGGGTCTGAATTAGTAGGAAGCTGGAGTCAGGAGCTAGAGCCAGGTATTGAACTGAGATACTTTGATGTGGGACACAAGTATCTTAACATCTAGCCTGCTGCTCAGGGTTATTCTTGAACCCTGAAGGAAAGATTAGAAATTGCCTGTGAGCTTGTGGCGATCCTAAATATGGATTATGTGGGTGGCTGTAAAATACAGAAACAAAGAGATTACACTTTGTGTGTAATTATCAGTTGCTAAGTATTTTCAGGTTTAGTATTAATAGAATCTTATTTGAGCTATTAGCCTTCAGCTATAAGTATGTTCCTCAGTGTGTTCAAAGTGGATATATACATTTTAATATAGTGATTCTCTTTTTTTCTCTCCTTCCCTCCACACACAATTTTACCCTTATTTTTTGACCCTTCTTACCCCTCTTTGGTGCCAACCATAATGGCATTTTACTTCCATTCAGGATGTGGGCAGGTATACAGGCAGCTGTGTCCAGAGCTGATAGCAAAGTTGTTCTGTAGAGCAGCCATCAAGATGCATTTGAGAGGTATGATTGGCAGGTTCTGTCCTCGAGAGCAAGCACATCATCTCTGCAACAGGCTCAGCTGCCAAGCCTAGGAATCCAACCAAGTTCATTCCCAAGCTCAGGCCAGTCAGTTGGCAACTAAAGATTCCTGTATGCCAAAAGAGCTTGCAGGTAGTATTTTTATTATTTTCTGACCCCAAATATCCCTTTATTGTTAATTAAAGAAAACTTGAAGATGTAAAAACATGTACAACTTGAGCTTAATGCAGGATTCTTCCAATATGAAATTAATTTAGTAGTAGTAGCTGGGATTTAGGTTGAGGATGTTAAAATTTGTCAAGTGTCAGGTTTCATCCACATTTTACCAAAAATATTGTAATGAAAATAAAAGTAAATTTCACCATTTTAAAATGTGTTTTTGCCAGGTTTACCTCGTGTATAGCCTTTTTTAACATCCTTAATGAGTTAAATGACTATGCAGGACAGCGAGAAGTAGTAGCAGAGGAAATGGCGCACAGAGTATATGGTGAATTAATGAGATACGCTCATGATCTGAAAACTGAAAGAAAAATGGTAATTCTTATCATTTTTATCCCATTATAATAGTATATAAATATTTTCACAGAAGTAATTAATTTTAAAAACATGTTTGTTGAGCATAAGCTGATTTTTCTATTTCACTCAATTTCTTCTAGGTAAAATTTATTATAAGATACTCATGCCGTATTCTGTGATCCTTTTGGATTTAAGACCAAGGTTTGGCAGACTGTCACCATGGGCCAAGTCCAGCCTACTGCCTGTTTTTGTTTCCTAATTCCCACAAGCAAAACATAGTTTTATATTATTATATGGTTGAAACAGGCATATAAAAATATTAATTCATGGCATGTGAAAATTACATGAAACTGAAATTTGTGTCCATAATGCTTTATTGGAACAGACCTGTACTCATTGACTATGGCTGCTTTTGTGTTACATCAGTGGAGTTGAATTTTTATGACAGAGACCATGTGACTTGGCAAAACCTAAAATATTTGCAAGTATTATCTGACCTTTATAGAAAATGTTTGTCAATCTCTGTTCAAAGTAATCATTATTTTTCAATATACATTTGTGTTAAAAGTTGTATTTAAATTATTAATACCTTTTAAAATGCATTTTAGAGAGTTTGGCTTTCCTCTCTTCCAAAGTCTAGTGAAGCTTTAAATATATATATATATATATATATATATATATAATTAATACCTTGAATAAAAAATAAATGGAAAACCTTTTTAGGATTTTAGATTTTATTCAAAATGTAATTATTTTGTTTGTTTTGTTTCATTTTGTTCTTTGGTGGTGGTTATACTCTTTAGCATCTCCAGGAAGGACGGAAAGCTCAACAGTACCTTGACATGTGCTGGAAACAGATGGATAATGTGAGTTATAGTGTTTTCATGTAACATAGACTTAGGTCAGCTCTGAAATCTTTTATGGTTCGCATCTGTTTGAGTTTAATGTTTGTCAATGTAGTATTCATAATTTCACATTTTTTTGGTGGCATAATAGCCAATAAAGTGTAATTGGAAGATGAGTGATCATTTTGTTGTTTTTCTTTTTTTTTTCCTGTGTAATTCTATGCTTATGTGAACTCTGGGATAGTCATATCTTTGTAAATATTTAGGGAGATTGTTTTTTACATACCAGTAGTTATTATGAAATACTAATAGAGTAAAGAATACAGAAACAGAAACAGTGATATATTTTGGAAGAATTTTTTTTTTTTAAATTGAAAGGCTGAATGAAAGCTCCCACCTGCTAGTTCATTCCTCAAATGCCTGAAATGTCTGGGATGCCAAAGCCAGGAGCTGAGAACTGGATCCAGGTGTCCCCACCTGAGTGGCAGGATTACTTGAGCAGTCATTGCTGCTTCCCAGAGCCTGTGTTAACAGGAAGCTAGAGTCAGAATCCAGAGCCAGGAATCAAACCCATGTACAACATTGTAGGACACACTTGTTTTAATTTAAATGCCTGCTCCTCTCCAAACCCATCCTGAAGGCCATTTGACTGAGACTAAAATAACCAAGACTCTAGTTCTATCTCTCTTAGTATTATATTTCTCTTGGCTCCATCTTTAGCATATGAAAAATTAAAGAAAGTGGACTGGATTATATGGACTGTTTTTTTTCCTATTCAGTGACTCTCTAATTCTATAAATGTTCTTATTATTAGGCTGCTGGTCAGAGACTGCCCAATTGTCAGAAACAAAGTACTTTGTAGAGCAAAATTATAAAAGCATAATAATTACTTAAATTTTCCCAAAGTCTACTTAGTATACAGAGTTTTTTTAAAAATGTTCTTGTTTTATAGTAAATGGAAAAACAAGATGTATACAAGGAACACTGTAATCTCCCTTAAAATGCTAATACTAATGCTTTATTAAATAATGTTTTATTGTTCAAGACACTTTTCTTTAAGATTTATTTATTTATTTGAAAAGCAGAGTTACAGAGAGTTAGAGGCAGAGGCAGAAAGAAAGAGGTCTTTTTTTTTTTTTTTTTTTCTGACAGAGTGGACAGTGAGAGAGAGAGACAGAGAGAAAGGTCTTCCTTTGCCGTTGGTTCACCCTCCAATGGCCGCCGCGGCCGGCACGCTGCAGCCAGAGCACTGCGCTGATCCAATGGCAGGAGCCAGGTACTTATCCTGGTCTCCCATGGGGTGCAGGGCCCAAGCACTTGGGCCATCCTCCACTGCACTCCCAGGCCACAGCAGAGAGCTGGCCTGGAAGAGGGGCAACCGGGACAGAATCCGGCGCCCCGACTGCGACTAGAACCTGATGTGCCGGCGCCACAAGGTGGAGGATTAGCCTAGTGAGCCGCAGCGCTGGCCAAGAAAGAGGTGTTGCATCCGCTGGTTTGCTCCCCAGATGGCCGCAATGGCTGGAGCTGCGCCAATCTGAAGCCTGGAGTGAGGAGCTTCTTCCATATCTCCTACATGGGTGCAGAGGTCCAAGGGCTTGGGCCATCTTGTACTGCATTCCCAGGCCGTAGCAGAGAGCTGGATTGGAAGTGGAGCAGCCAGGACTCTAACCTAACCCATGTGGAATGCCAGCACTGCAGGTGGCAGCTTTACCTGCTACGCCACAACGCTGGCCCCAAGATATTCTTTTCGAACCCTCAGATTATAAGCAATTTATTCTTTACTGTATTATTTCTATGATGGACACTGCGTTTCTTGAAAATTATGCTGAAGCAAGTTTTTCATGTTAAATGTATAGACTAGGGGCTGGCGCTGTGGCGTAGCAGGTAACACTGCTGCCTGCAATGCCAGCATCCCATATGGGCACTGATTTGAGACCCAGTTGCTCCATTTCCAACTCAGCTCTCTGCTATGGCCTGGGAAAGCAGTGGAAGATGCCCCAACTGCTTGGGCCCCTGCACCCATGTTGGAGACCTAGAAGAAGTTCCTGGCTCCTAACTTCGGGTCAGCGCAGATCTGGCCGTTGCTGCCATCTGGGGAGTGACATGCTTTCAAGGAAAGAGTGTTTTTATCATTTTTGTACTAGTGATTCTTTCTTTAACTGTTGCAAAGAATTTTTTATGTAGATGTTCTTATGTAAATAAGATACCTAATATAAAAATATTTTTGTTTGTAATAGCTTCCTTTTACACCAGAGTAGTAACTTACACCTATTAGGTTTAAAAATACAGCTCTACTCTGGCCTCAGAATCAGCCCTTAAGGCATTTGGATCTGGCTGAAGAGCCCATGAGAGTATTTTAGGCATGGAAAGCCAAGACACTCTGGCAAGAATAAAGAAAAAAAAAGACCGAAATGAAAGATCTCTGTGAGTGAGATTCCAGTGAAAGAACGGGCCATCAAAGAAGGAGGTACCTTTCTCTGAAGGGAGGAGAGAACTTCCACTTTGACTATGACCTTGTCTAAGTAAGATCGGATTCGGCGAACTCAGAAGGCTTCCATAGCCTTGGCAACTCATGACAAGAGCCTAGGGTGATTACTGATGCCATAAACAAGAGTGTCAATTTGTTAAGTCAACAACAGGAGTTACTATGCACTTACTCCTCATGTAGGATCTCTGTCCTTAATGTGTTGTACAATGTGAATTAGTGCTATAACTAGTACTCAAATAGTACTTTACACTTTATGTTTCTGTGCGGGTGCAAACTGTTGAAAGTTTTACTTAATATATGCTAAATTGATCTTCTGTATATGAAGATAATTGAAAATGAATCTTGATGTGAATGGAATGGGAGAGGGAGCGGGAGATGGAAGGTTGTGGGTGGGAGGGAAGTTATGGGGGGGAAAGGCCACTGTAATCCAAAAGCTGTACTTTGGAAATTTATATTTATTAAATAAAAGTTAAAAAAAAATAAAAAAACACAGCTCTGAACTGAGTTTCACAGAATTAAATGTGAAACTCTTATGTTAATTTTCATAGAAATGGATAGTTTAGGCCGGCGCCGCGGCTCACTAGGCTAATCCTCCACCTAGCGGCGCCGGCACACCAGGTTCTAGTCCCGGTTGGGGCGCCGGATTCTGTCCCGGTTGCCCTTCTTCCAGGCCAGCTCTCTGCTATGGCCAGGGAGTGCAGTGGAGGATGGCCCAGGTGCTTGGGCCCTGTACCCCATGGGAGACCAGGAAAAGCACCTGGCTCCTGGCTCCTGCCATCGGATCAGCGCGGTGCGCTGGCCGCAGTGCGCCGGCTGCGGCGGCCATTGGAGGGTGAACCAACGGCAAAAGGAAGACCTTTCTCTCTGTCTCTCTCTCTCTCACTGTCCACTCTGCCTGTCAAAAAAAAAAAAAAAAAAAAAAAAAAAAGAAATGGATAGTTTATATATTATGCATATTCAGATATTTTTCTGTGTTTTGAATAAAATGCTAATATCATTTGATATCCCATACTAATAGAGGGAAAGACCATAATAATGCCTACAGTTAAATTTTGTTTTTCTGTTTTTATTTATTTATTTAAAGGCAGAGAAAGGGAGATAGACTAAGAGATCTTCTGTCTGCTGGTTCATTCTGCTGGCCTAGGCCAAAGCCAGGTGCCTGGCCCTCAGTCCAGGTCTTTCACCTGGGTAGCAGTGCCCCAAGTACTTGTGCTGTCATCACCTGCTGCCTCTAAGAGTATGTATTAGCAGGAAGCTGGAATCAAGAGTAACCCAGGCATTCCAATATGGGGTACAGGTATTCCAAATGGCATTTAACGTACCAAATGCCCATTCCTAAATAAAATCTACATTTTAAAAAAATTTGGAGCACATTTATTTGATGCAAATTACAGGTAATATCTGGGTCTCGGCTGTATGGCAAATGGAGGTAGGTCAGAAACCTTTTGGCTACAAATACATACATATACTAGGTATTTTTTTAAAATTGTATTTTAAGAAAGGGAAATCTTTAGCTACTAGGAAATAAAGATCAACAAAAGCAAAGCAGTAGGTATGTGAGCTAATAGACTGGTGTTTGAAAAAATGAGGTTAGGAGTTTTGGGGTATGATGGTTTACTGGGTCTGGTATTTGCTAAGGGCATGGGCTTTGATAAGTTATACAGGGTAGTGGGGAGTTATAACTGATATCCTTGTATAAAATTTGAACTTTTAAAGGAGTATACTTTTAGTGAGAGTAGACTATAAGAAATCTGCCCACTGGCCAAGGAAGAAATCAAAGAAATTTATCTATCATGTCAAAGGAAGGAAGGTATCCCATGAGAAATTTAAAGCTTTTGACTTTGTAGTCAGTCAAGTTTGGGATCAAAACACAAAATTGACATTGTTATTGGTCCTCAAAAGGAAGTTAGGTTAAAACAAAATGTTGAGATCCTCTGCTCTCTTCTGAGCAATTTTCATATACATAACAAGGCATATCTTTTCCGCATTATGGACAGCAAGAAATTGGAAAAGATTTTTCTCTGAGTAATATAACCAGGTAGAGAGAAAAAATATGTGGGGGAAAAAGGCAACTTGGAAGAAACAGAATATGAAAGGAAACAGAACTGAAAAATATAAACAAGGAAAATACTAGAACTGTGAATAATATTCTCAAAGTAAATAGAGAAAATATTGCATCCACCAAATAAAGTCCTATTAAAAAAGAAAATATAAAAAAGAGACCTTTATGATAGCAGAAATGAAAAATCCTCTAGAAAGAATAAAAGATGAACTTGAAGAAGTCTGTCAAAGTAAAACAGAATAACAGAGATAAAAATATGAATGAAAATAAAACAAGAGGGCTCATCTAGTGTGAGGGGGCTTCAAAAAGTTCACGGGAGATTTGCTTTGGCATTCCGTTTTCTCATGAACTTTTTGGAGCCCCCTCATCGGTACATTTTCAAAATAATTAGCATCCTAGAAAAGAGAAAACACCTAATATGGGCAAAAATAATTCAAGAAAATTTCCACCAAATTCAAAGATCAGTTTCCAGATAGAATTTTCCAAGTCCCTGCCACAATAGATCCATATCAAAACACATCTTTGTGAAGTTTCAAAACACAAGTCAGAGAGAAGAGCCCACCAACTTCCAGACAGAAGAATGAAAAACAGACACACTTCATGCAATTAAGAATCAGAATGGAATTGGACAGTCATGTTGGAAGCAAGAAGATAATGGAATCATATTTTTAAATTTCTTAAGTAGAGTGATTTCCAACAAAGATATATATACTCTGGCAACTTTCATCAATTAAAAATAATGGTAAAGGCATTTTTTTTTTGAAAAGACTTTATTTATTTGAAAGGCAGAGTTAGGAGGAGAGGCGGAGAGAGAGAGAAATCTTCTGTCACTGGTTCACTCCCCAAATGGCTAGAATGGTGGGGGTTGGGCCATGCTGAAGCCAGGAGCCCAGAGCAGCTTCTGGGTCTTCTGTGTGGGTGCAGGGGCCCAAGTACTTGGGCCATCCTTTACTGCCATACCAAGAACGATAGCAGGGAACTGGATTGGAAGTGTAGCAGCTGGGACTTGAACCGGAATCCATATGGGATACCAGCATCGCAGGTGGAAGCCTAACCTGCTAGGCCACAATGCTGGCCCCAGTAAAGGCATTTTTATCCATGGAGATTCAAAAAATTATCTATTACAACACTGCTGTCAATATGTTCTAGAAAAATGATGATGGGATAGAGAAAGGAGAAAGCATGGAACTAGGAAATTAAAATCAAGAGGCAGGTCTAATAAGTCCCTGGGATAATGGGTAAGAGAAATCCCAAGGAAGTAGCCGGGTATTAGGACTAGTTGGTAATGAGTTGAAATTTTAGGAAAGATTTAATCAAGAAAGTAAAACTGATAGAATTCCTGATGTATCAGAAAATGTGGAGAGATTTAAAGAACTGGGAGAAACTGGGGTTGTTTTAAAATCAATGCACTGAAAACTAAGCAAATTGGGGGAAAAAAGTATAAACTCTGCCATTTAAAAAAAATTTGTAAGAAAGGAAATAAAATGGTATACGTAGGGTCGGCGCTGTGGCATGGTGGGTAAAGCTGCCACTTTCAGTGCCAGCATCCCATATGGGTGCTGGTTCAAGTCCCAGCTGCTCCACTTCTGATCTAGCTCTCTGCTGTGGTCTGGGAAAGCAGTAGAAGATGGCCCAAGTCCTTGGGCCCCTGCACTCACGTGGGGGACCTGGAGGAAGCACCTGGCTTCTGATCGGCACAGCTCCAGCCACTGAGGCCAACTGGGGAGTGAACCAGTGGATAGAAGACTAGACTCTCTGCCTTTCTCTCTCTCTGCCTCTTTGTGTAACTCTGACTTGCAAATGAATAAATAAATCTTAAAAAAAAAAAAAGGTATACATTTCATGACTTAGTTGTAAACAGCTTTTGCAAATTCATAGTTATTTGGGTTAGAGATCAGGGTTTGGGGGCCGGTGCTGTGACGTAGTAGGCTAAGCCTCCACCTGCAGCACTGGTTCGTGTCCCGCTGCTCCTCTTCTGATCCAGCTCTCTGCTATGGCCTGGGAATGCAGTGGAAAATGGCCCAAGTCCTTGGGCCGCTGCACCCACATGGGAGACCCAAAAGATGCTCCTGGCTTCAGATTGGCTCAACTCTGGCTGTTGAGGCCTTTTGGGGAGTGAACAGAGGATGGATGAGCTTTCTCTCTGTCTCGCCCTTTCTCCATCTGTTCCCTATCTCTCAAATAAATAAATAAAATCTTAAAAAAAAATCGAGTCTGTGTGGCAAAGTGGATGAAACTGCCACCTGCAATACCAATATTCTATATGGATGCCAGTTTCAGTCCCAGCTGCTCCACTTCTAATCTAGCCACCTGCTAATAGCCTGGGAAAGCAGTGGAAGATGGCCCAAGTCCTTGGGCCCCTGTACCCATGTGGGATGAAGCTCCTGATTCAGCCTGGCCCAGCCCCATCCTTTGTGGCCATTTGGTGATTAAACCAATGGATGGAAGATCTCTGTCTTTGTCTCTCCTTCTCTCTCTCTCTCTCTCTTAACTCTGCCTTTCAAATAAATTGGGTCTGGACTAATGGTATTCCTGGGACACTTGGCAGAAACAGTGTAATACCACTTTGGAAGGATACTTCTCCCCAAGCTATTTTTGGGTCCCACCAAAAAAGTATAAAAAGCAGGAAAGACAACCAATGAAACAAAACAAAAAAACAGCAAGCAAACCAAAAAGCCCTGCTGATGATGAGCATATAACAAAACCTTACCCAATATATATTCTCCTTATTGAAAGGAGATGAAATATGAATATTAATTTAGTTATGCCTGTATTTTTCCCCCTTGTAGTATAATTAATGTCTGTTGTTTAAGTCACATGTATTGTTTTTTAATAGAAAGGACAGGTCTTACTTTCAGTATGCATTTCATTTCTACATAAGACAAGATGGCAACATTTTATTTTTAAAATGAGATCTAATTTTGTTTTGTCAATTTTTTTTTAACAGAGTAAAAAGAAATTTGAAAGAGAATGTAGAGAAGCAGAAAAGGCACAACAGAGTTACGAAAGATTGGATAATGATACCAATGCAACCAAGGCAGATGTTGAAAAGGTAAGAAATAATCCAAACTAACGTTGATATCAAAATAATTTACCTATGTATGGAAAAAAGTCACACATTTATATACGTATTAGAATTTCCTCAAGAGATACACCGTCTCTGTGTCTAAAATATACAAATATTTGCCTACTTATTGGTTTGAGAAAGTAATATATATTAATTTATTATAATAATTGCATTCATAATGCAGAGGGAAGACATAGTTGCTATTAGGATTGAGTTTCTGTCTTGTTCCAAAATAATATAGAAAGCTTCAGGGTTTGCACATAGTGGCTGGGCAGTGTGTGTGTCAAGAGTATGTGATTTTAGCTTTATTAATTCATTTTGGAAAACCAAATTCTCTTGTTGCTGATTCTGGGCCAGATGTTTTGTAACACAACTGTTAGGAGCATTAACCTTGTTATTGCTGCTGTTTAGCCACCCTGCCCCCATGCCTATGCTGCTCTTTATCTTAGAATTTTAATAGTGCTGAAATGTTAGGATTTTGAATTATAGATGAACATCACATCATACTTTTTAGTATCCTAAAGGCCCACCATTATTCTGTTTTCTTTCTTGGATTTTATGATTCTCTGCAGGATCAGAATGAGAAAAAAGAAGGGAGAGGGGAATAATTTATTTTCTGCCTTCCATCTTCTTTTCCAATTAAAACTCTTAAAGCCGTGTAAATTCCAGGTTACGCTTACTTTAAAGGTCTTCTAAGTATAACTTGTGTTGCTTATACTCATATTTTCTACCCTCTTTTTAGTGACTTACCATACCTATAATGATAGTGAGTTCCCTGTCATTGGAAATGTACAGTCTCCAGCCGACTGCTCATTTTCCCCCACCCCCGATTTAAGATTTTCTTATATTGACTCCATTCATCTCTCTGTTTTAGGTTTTTTGATACCAGAGGAAGAATATCCAGTCTATTTTTTTCTCTGAATAGCTTTTTAGATATTTGGAACAGATTCTTTATTCTTAGATGAATTGTTATGTTGCTTCGACTATTTCACATATGTTCCAGTGACTTAAAACTGGAACAGTTTCCGCTGATGGGAAAGCATTTGAAATCCTTTACTTGGCTTGTGGTAGAAAATGAAGAGAGGCAGTGATAAATGAATGTTAGAGTTCCAGATTGGAACTTGGAATATGTTTTTATATAAAAGTTGTTTGGGCCATAGGATTTAGTGTCCATATTACTTATTTATTTTACAATATTCAAATATACCATGGATAAAAGAGACTTTTATGGGCTTATATGAGATGTTGGCTACTATGTATTTCCATAGGTCTCATTTCTGAGTTAAGAATTAAACTTGTAAACTTAGTATTAGAAGATGGGGACCACATTTGTGGAAACTGGAATTAGAATAACAAAATATATTCACAGTGTTCTATAGTTTACAAAGCAATGTCTTGTAAAATGCTTGGAACACTGAAAAATCGAATTTAATTCTTATTTTGTGTTTTCTTATTAGAACAGTTGAGAAATTTGTTTAGGTTACTCTTTAGTAAGTCTAGAATCAACAATTTGTGTTTGTATTCTAATGTTCTGATCATTGTAGATAATAATATTTTGGCTTTCTCCAAGAGATGGAAAGAATAGAACTATATTATTCTAAACAAGTATTACTTAAAGTACCTATGGTTTTGCACCAAGGTGGAAATCATTGTTGAATATGTTATCTAAAGATCACATTTTTATCAGTATTTACCGTCATTACTTGCACTGTGATTTTTAGTTTCATATTTTAGTTAGATATAAATAAATCAAAGAAATGTTTTACTTTCTTAATTGTCTAAAACATTTGTGAAGGTACCTCTGTTTCTCTTCTGATTAAAAATATATTGTTTTAGGATACAATGTAATTTATTTAGTTATTTGCAATCTGATTTTGATAAGAGCAGGTTTTATTTGAATGGATTGCTACAAAGAAGTAAGGTAATTAAAATAGGGAAAGGAGGAATATTGTAATAAGGAGACCACTCTGACCATAAGATTTGCAAGCATCTCTTTACATTTTAAATAGTTATTGCTTTGAAAGAGTCAGACTGCTTCATGATTCTCTTGATGTCGAATGTTGGCTTCTGTGTTGACGAGATCTAGTTTTAGTATCATTTTTCAGAGAAGTGAATTGCTATGAATTTGTTGTTGATAATGATTTGGTCCAATTTGCCTTTAGGCCAAACAGCAGTTGAATCTGCGTACACATATGGCTGATGAGAATAAAAATGAATATGCTGCACAGTTACAGAACTTTAATGGAGAACAACACAAACATTTCTACGTAGTGATTCCTCAGATTTACAAGGTAAATTTTAGAAAAATTAAGTTAATGTGGTTTGGGAGAGCTAGTTTTTAAATACAACGCGTAAGTTTTAAAGCAGTATGTTTTTAGATTCACTAGTTAACAAAATTAGTGATAAGAGATTTAACTATGAATATAAGTTCGGAAAGTAAATTTTCCCTTTTATTTGTTAAGAACATTATTTAAAAGAGTGACAGAGATGTAGGGAGACAAATCTTCTATACTCTGGGGCTGACTACTTGGGCCATCCTCTGCTGCCTTCCCAGGAACATTAGTAGGAAGCTGAATTAGAAGCAGAGTAGCTGGAACTGAAACCAGCTGGCATCCTTCTTGCATTGCAAGCAGCAGCTTAACCCACTGCACCACAATACTGCCCTCTCCCTAACTTTGAAATCAGAAAATTTTCTGCATATTTATTTAGTGGTATTATTTGCAGTTCACTAAAACACTACACTAATGTTTTTGAGATAAATTTTAATATCAGAGTACTCCAGAAAGTTTATGGAAAATGGAAAAAAAGGAGTTAAAGGGTAGGCAATGTGGCACAGCAGAGTAAGCTGCCACTTTGGTCACCCATATTCCATATTAGAATGCCTGGTTCAAGTCCTGGCTACTCCACTTTGGATCCAACTTCTACTAATACGAATCCTGGGAGGCAGCGGAGTATGGCTCAAGTGCTTCAGCCCCTGCCACCCACATGAGAGTTCCAGCCTTTTGGTTTTGGCTTGGGTCTGGTCAAGCCCCGCTACCTTTAAAATAAAAATAAGCGTTTAAAAATGAAAAAATATTAATGCAGTGTTTTTGCATTAAAATAATCTTGCATTTTAATTCCATTTTCCCATGGGCTTTTTGAAGTACTGTTACATTGTATCATCAACTATTTTGATGTGATTGTAATCTGCTCACCTTGAATTGGCATGTACCTTTTTGACACCATCCCAGGATCATTGGCATTAGTTCAGATGGTAGAAATAAATCATTTAAAATGTATGTTAGTTTGGTTCTGCCTGCTATCTTACAGGCTCTGTTTGATGCTAAATGTAATTTGGGCCTTGAACTTGCTTCTAAATCCTGTCCATCATGACTTGATAGCAGTTGCCAAAGAGCCTCAGATAAAAACTCCAGAATTTATATGAGGGTAAAATCATTTTACTGTTTTTTTCTAGAAAGAAGGGAAACTAGAGAACAGAGATTTAATAAACATGCTGAATGAGATAGTCTGTAGGAGCAGGGTTTCTGTGAAAAGAGAGCTGGCCTACTGTTTTCTTTATAAGCCAAGTTAGAAGAACAGAGGAAGCATAGTGAGAGTTGGTAGACTGGAGTGGATATCAGATTCTGTTCATTTAAACCAGAGTGTCAAGCCAGCCAGTCCTCCCTCTGTTGTTTTTCTGGGTTCTCTGACTCAATCTTCCTATTTGAGGGAAACCTGAACTGAAAGATAAACTGCTGCTTGTGATTGGGAGCCTGTTCCATTTGTTTGGACCTTGCTATGGAGCATTCTGGCCACCTTGTGATGCCAGGAATAGGTTGTCTGTGTGTAAATGCAAGTCTCAAACTTTAAAATTATTAAAGTAATTAAAGAGAAAAAGTGGTATGAAGACTATGGGAGTTGAATACTTAAACAGTGTACCTTATTCCAAGGAAAGAAAAAGGTCAGTTTTAAATAGGAAGTATCAAACATGCATTTAAATTATTGAGCTTCATGTGTCCCAGTACATTTCTTGGTAGCATGTACAATATTTTGAATTCTGATGATTTGATTGTATATATGTGTCACTTTGACCTATGGCTCCTGGACACCTCTGTGTCTCCAGCTTTTTTGAGAGTCATTCTTTGAACTGTAGATTGTGATAGGTCTGGGTACCTGTTAGTCTGCAATCAACTATGGACCCTTGGTTCAGCCAGGTCTTACCAAAGTGTTCTGAACTAATTTAAGGGATTAGAAATTTCAGATTTGTATACAATATAGGCTAATAGCTTTAAAAAACTGGTTACTACTATGGTTAAAGAGGACCTGGCAGCCTTAGAAGTCTTGAGAACCAGTATCACCTGGCTTTAGGATGTATTAAAATCCTTGATAGATTTGTTTTCTTTCTCTTACTGTTTAGCAAGCCTTAGATTTTAAGTATTGTAAAACTGCATGCATTTGTTAAAAGGTACTAACAAAAAAAAGTGTAATGGTTAGGATAAATAGAAATCTATATTACTTTTTGAGGAAGGGTCACTAACTGATCTTTAGAATGATAAGGAAATAATTTTTCTTTTTTTAATTCCTGGTTATTAGCAACTACAAGAAATGGATGAACGAAGGACTATTAAACTCAGTGAGTGTTACAGAGGATTTGCAGACTCAGAACGCAAAGTTATTCCTATCATTTCAAAATGTTTGGAAGGAATGATTCTTGCAGCAAAATCAGTTGATGAAAGGAGAGTAAGTATTATCTAGTTGTCTCTGAAGAAATGAATTTGGTTTATGTTTGCAGGTTCAGTAGTGAAATTAATTGGGAAAGAGGTGAAGTAATCTCTGTTGATTCTAAATTACATTCCATAAAAGAAATTCTTGGTATAGGTTAGACTCCTTTGGACTCTAAGGACTATTCTGAATGCTGAAGCCCTGATTCTTTATGCTGAAGCGCTGATTCTTTAAAAAAAAAAAAAAAAGGCAAGATGTCTTAACCATATCTTTCTCCTTTTTTAAAAAATTATTTGTTTATTTGAAAGAATTACAGAGAGAGAGAGAGAGAGATCGATCTGCCATCTGCTGGTTCACTCCCCAGTTGGCTATAACGGCCAGAGCTGAGATGATCTGAAGCCAGGAGCCAGAAACTTCTCCCAGGTCTCCCACATGGGTGCAGGGGCCCAAGGACTTGGGCCATCATTTACTGCTCTCCCAGGCCATAGCAGAGAGCTGGATTCGAAGTGGAACAGCCGGGTCTCGAACAGACGTCCATATGGGATGCTGGTGCTTCAGGCCAGGGCGTTAACCCACTGCATCACAGCACTGGCCCCTAGTTTTTCATTTCTAATCCAAAAGTATAACCAATCTGTGAGCTGCGTGTTACAGTTGTCTTATCCTCTAGTCTAATGAGAATTTAGAGAATGATAATGGTCAGATAGATGTAGTGCTGTCAGTTGTCTTGAACATAAGAGTTGGTACTTGTTCTCAGTCAAGAAACATGGTTAGTATATAGAATAATGATGGAGGGCATTATGAGGAAAGGAAACTGTTTTGTCCTTCCTCCTCTTGAGGAGATTTGTCTTATCACAATGTGTGTGTGTGTGTGTGTGCGTGTGTGTGTGTGTTTAAAAGATTTGTTTATTTGAGAAGCAGAGCTACAGACAGAGAGGAAGGGAGAGACAGAGAAAAAGGTCTTCCAGCTGCTGGTTCACTCCTCATATGGCAGCAGGTGCTAGAGCTGGGCCAATCTAAAGGCGGGAACCAAGAGCATCTCCTGGATTTCCCACATGGGTGCAGGAGCCCAAGCACTTGGGCCTTTTTCTGCTTTCCCAGGCCATCGCCGAGAGCTGGATCAGAAGAGGAGCAGCTCAAACAGGAACCAGCACCTATATAGGATGCTGGCACCACAGATGGAGGCCCAGCCTGCTACACCACAGTGTCAGCCCCTCCATGTGTTTTTAAAAAATAAATAATATTGGCTTTTATTTTATTTGAGGGGGAGGAGAAGGGAGAGAAAGAGAAACAAAGATCTCCCATCTGCTATTTCAGGGCTTGCAACATCTGGAGCGAGCCATGCTGAAGCTGGGAGCCTGGAACTCAGTCCTGGTCTCCACATAAGTGGAAGAACCCAACTACTTGAGCTATTACCTGCTCATTAGCAGGAAGATGGAATTGGGAGCAGGGCTGGAACTCAAACTCAGGCACTCTGATACAGTGAGTGTCCCAAGTGATGTCTCAACTGTTGTGCCGAAGACCCATCCCTCATAATATATCTTAATTAAGGTGCAGCTGAATCTTTTATATGGTCATTCCATTCCTTAGTGAACACTGATTGAGTAAAAAGGCATGATGGACAGAAACTGAGGGTATGAGGAAAAAACTAGATTAGAGAACTAGTGTTTGGTGAAAGTCAAGTATGTACTACATATTTTAGTATTTGCAGCAAACCTATCAAGTAGAGATCATATAAATATTAGTGAGCAACCTTACTGTAACAACAAATATAATCCTTACTTAAATTTAAAAATGGAAAAACTATTTTTGACTTCTTGAATAATTGGAAAATCCAAAGTGTGTATATACACAGGTATTTCAGAAAGCTTGTAGAGAAGTAGAATGTAAAGATAAGTTTATTTTTGTGCAACAAATTTTTGAAATGTATTTTTTTATAATATGAATTTTCTGTGAAGTTTTTGATGACCCTTCATATGTTTCTGAATGCCCAGATCCAGGGTTATTCAATATTAACTGGGCCCCTCGTCTTGCAGTCTTCTTATCCTTAACAAATGATTGCTGAGGGTTGCATTAGTGACAGAAGTGAGGTATGACTCTAAGCTAAATGATGGACAAGTGCTCGCTTCGGCAGCACATATACTAAATGATGGACAAAATATGCTATTAATAGAAATAGAAAAGAGGAGAGGTAGTTAGGAATGGGGAAGAATTTGTGGAGAATAAAGTATCCTGTTTGAAAATAATGAGCTTAGACCGGCACCATGGCTCACTAGGCTAATCCTCCACCTGCGGCGCTGGCACCCTGGGTTCTAGTCCTGGTTGGGGCACCGGATTCTGTCCTGGTTGCTCCTCTTCCTGTCCAGCTCTCTGCTGTGGCCTGGGAGTGCAGTGGAGGATGGCCCAAGTGCTTGGGCCCTGTAGCCGCATGGGAGACCAGGAGAAGCACCTGGCTCCTGGCTTCAGATCGGCACAGCGCGCCAGCCGTAGCGGCCATTTGGGGGGTGAACCAACGGAAGGAAGACCTTTCTCTCTGTCTGTCTCTCTCTCTCTAACTCTGCCTGTCAAAAAAAAAAAAAATAATAATAATAATGAGCTTAAAGTGTTAATAAAATATTCAGTTAGAGGTATGTATGTCTTGAAACAATATGTAATTTTCATGTGAGTTTTTAAGCTTTAGATGAATTATCATAAATTTTGCATTTCCAAATATGCTTTTTACATTGTTTATAAGATTTTTTTTCCTATTGATTTGTTAACATTCTGCAATGTAAATTTGATATTTTTTTTAATCTTTTCCCTGTTGGATGAATAAAAGCCTTTCTACTACTCTCTTACTCTTTAATGATTAGATGCTCTTTCTTTATTCCCATGACCAGCATCTTTGTATACATACATCCTTTAAAGCAAAAAGCCTATTTCCTTCAAAAGTTCTCAGGGTTTCTACTTTATAATAATTTTTCTATATATTCTTTTTGTCAGTTTAGCCTTTCTTATCAGTAAATAGTTTTCAGTTGAATTTCAGGGGATATGGTAAATTAAGTGGTGATTTTTAAGTGTAGTTTTTCTGTAGGGTTTGAAATATTTATTAAAAATTCACAAGAAGGGCCGGCGCCGCGGCTCAGTAGGCTAATCCTCCGCCTAGCGGCGCCGGCACACCGGGTTCTAGTCCCGGTCGGGGCGCCGGATTCTGTCCCGGTTGCCCCTCTTCCAGGCCAGCCCTCTGCTGTGGCCAGGGAGTGCAGTGGAGGATGGCCCAGGTGCTTGGGCCCTGCACCCCATGGGAGACCAGGAAAAGCACCTGGCTCCTGGCTCCTGCCATCGGATCAGCGCGGTGCGCCGGCCGCAGCGCGCCGGCCGCGGCGGCCATTGGAGGGTGAACCAACGGCAAAGGAAGACCTTTCTCTCTGTCTCTCTCTCTCACTGTCCACTCTGCCTGTCAAAAAATAAAAAAAAAAAAAAAAAAAAAAAAAAAAAAAAAAAAAAAAAAATTCACAAGAAGAAATTACTTTAAACATTAAATAATTACTTCAGAATTATTTCTTTAAAGTTTTGTTTTCTTGCACTGATTAAAGTTTTGAAAGCTAATGTGTTATGAGCAAATGAATTGGTTTTGAAAATTTCTGTTCTTGTTTGTAGGACTCTCAAATGGTGGTAGACTCCTTCAAGTCTGGTTTTGAACCTCCAGGAGACTTTCCATTTGAAGATTACAGTCAACATATTTATAGAACCATTTCTGATGGGACTATCAGTGCATCCAGACAGGAAGGTGGGAAGGTAGATGCCAAAACCACAGTGGGAAAAGCCAAGGGCAAATTGTGGCTCTTTGGAAAGAAGCCAAAGGTAAAAAATCATAAAATTCCTATATGCTATTCAGGTTTCTTTAGTGTATCAATGTAGGTATTGAATGGTTAATGATTTACTACTAAAGAAGAATAAACATTTTCAATTTGGAAGATTTGAACTTATACTTTTTGGAAATGGATTTTTATGCCTTAAGTAAAAATGAGATCTGGATTTAATATTTGACCACTGCTTGGTTGTAATGAGTAAAAATATTGAGTAGTCCTTATGCAGCTAAGTGATATACTTTGAAATTTACTTTGTATATAATTTCTACCAGAATTTCTAAGGAAACATGTGGTCGACTGAAAGACCACTAAAATTGTAATTCTGAATTGGAATAGATGTTTGACCACCACAATAATAAATGTCAGATTAGGTCTTACAGATCATACTAATAAAATTATTTATTACCCATATGAGTTTTTAATGGGAAGGGCTTAGTGTTCTTGATTAATTGAAGTTTTAAAAATTTCTGGTTTGCCAAGAGAATCTCACTTTTTGTTAGAATCTACCTTTTGATATGTTATTTACTTTAGATATACAAATCCAGCTAACCAGGTTAGCAAAATGGAGTAGAGGAATGCTTTGTCTTTCACTAATAATTTAGTGATTGCAGTAGTGTCCTATCTGTGAAAATAGATATATCCTTTAAAAATTATTTATTTATTTATTTGAAAGGCAGAGTTACAGAGAGAGAGGGAGTGACAGAGATCTTCCATCTGCTGGATCACTCCTCAGATGGCCACATTGGCCAGGGCTGGGCCAGGCCGAAGACAGGAGCCAGGAATTTCCTTCCAGGTCTCCCACGTGGGTAGCAGGGGCCTAAACACTTGGGCCATCTTTCTCTGGTTTTCCGAGGCCATTAGCAGGGAACTGGATCAGAAGTGGAACAGCAAGGACATGAACCAATGCTTTTTGGGGTGCTGGCATTGTGGCGGCGGCTTTGCCTGTTACACAGTGCTAGCACCAGATTATATAGTTTTAAACTGCAATGTTATATTTATTAGAGTATGTTCTACTTTAAATTATCTTTTTGATTCTGTCATGAGTGTGGATGAAATTTAACTCAAATTACAATGTACCTATAATTATCTTTACCAGCACAATTATAATTAACTCAGCCTTTATTCATACTTTTAATTTTGTCTCAAGAAGTTGAGAGGTAAGATCTTTTTTGGTCAGATCAGAGTATAGCTCTTAGAAATACAAGGAATTTTGGGATTTAAAAAAAAAGAGACACATGAAATAAGAATGTATTAGAAAAACTGAGAAGAAAGCCTATAATAAATTATTTTTGCTTATTTGTGTTAATAATTATAATTTAAATATTTTATTGTGACATTTAGATAACTAGCTATAGCTGCTGCCTTTATCTCTTGACAAGTACAGGTTAAGAATAACTAGGAATTCGTGATGATGCTAATATTTTAGAAATCAGAAAATATTTTTTAATCTAGGTCATGTTGCTCTCTAACATAGTTTGTGTATTTTATATTTTTAATCTGTCATCTTATAATGGTGATCACGTGAAATTAAACATTTTTAAAGGTAAATTTGACTTTTTAAAATGATAGTTTTGGACAAAACTGTTTAATATTTCTATAGAATACTTTATTTGAGGATATTTTGTGAAAAATATGTTACCAAAAATAGATTTCATTTAGGGCAAAGCAATGCACATTTGGCTTATTGATTCCTTTCTTTATTTCCATATTAGCCACAGTCCCCACCCTTAACCCCTACTAGTTTATTCACATCCAGTACTCCTAATGGGTCCCAGTTTCTCACATTCTCCATTGAGCCTGTGCATTATTGTATGAATGAAATAAAAACAGGGAAGCCCAGAATTCCTTCTTTCAGAAGCCTCAAAAGAGGGGTAAGTTAATAATGGATTAAAATGCATGATGGCCTATTGTGTGTGTAGTGTGGCTTTTAATACTCTCCACCCTCATTATAAGGCTCTCTCCTGGAAATATATAGTTTAAAACCACCACAGAATTGAGTATAGCTGCCCTAAGTTAAAATCAACTCCTCTTTATACATTTGAAAATACTCAACCATAAAAAAATGGTATTATAAAGAGGGTGCTGGGTACAATCATATTTAGCTATTTTTTTGTTTATGTGAAATCATATGTCCACCATTGTCTTGTAATGTATTTACATTTTTAAGACTTTCAGTAATTTGTCACCAGAGTTACTCTTGTAATAATTTGTCGCTAATGCTGACTTCACCTGCCAATTTTAGAGCATATTATTTTGTTGACAATAAAATGTCAAGGTCAATTTTAATTGCCCTGCTTACTTTCAGAAGCATAAAAGCACAATTTCCAATAAATAAGAAAATGATAGGCATATCAAATATAAAGATTGTTTATAAGTCAAACTAAGATAATATGTTAGAAGGTATTTTGTAAATTGTAAAGCCCATAAATACTAAGTAATATTGAATAATGTTTACATAACATAATTTATTTTCTTGAATTAAAGGTAAATAATTTTTGTCAATTTCCCTGTATTTTTTTTGTTGGCCAGCCTTTGGTATTTACTTACTTAAAAAACTAATACAGTATTAAGCTTTTCCTTAACAACAACTATTATCCTAGTGGTAAATAAATTAGTCTTATTCCATTATGTTAGGCTAATTTTTCTTGTTTGGTTTTAAGGGTATTCTTTTGATAATTGTAGCCCATAGTTCAGACACATCTATCAGAATGGTTTGGATGTTATAAAACAGTGTAAAAAACCTATTGATGAAAAATCAGTCTTAGCAGTTTGGTTTTAAGATTAAGTCTAATCATTAACAGTAATATGCTAAAATTGGATTCTTCTTCCTTTTCCTTTTATTTCCTTTTCTTTTCTTTGCTCCCCTGTTTCTCTTGTTTGTTTTCTTTGGTCCTTTAAAAATTAAAAATAATAATTATTATTTATTTGTAAGGCAGAGATATAGAAAGAGACAGAGATCTTGTATCTGTTCACTCCCCAAATACCCACAACAATGGAGATGGACCAGGCTGAAGCCAGAAATCCAAAACTCAATCTGAGTTTTCCACATAGGTGGTAGGGACCCAGGTATTTGAGCTATCACCTGCTATCTCCCAAGGTCTTCAGCAGGAAGCTCTATTAGAAGTGGATCTAGGAACGGAACACAGGCACTCCATTATGGAATGTAGGCATTGTAAAGTGGTATCCCGATCTCTGTGCCATGCTCACCCCTATTCTGTAGCCCTTTCTGATCTCAGATTACATTTTAGCCACCTGTGGAACAAGACATCTTCATTTAAGGCAAGATTACATTTTTTTTTTTTTTTTTGACAGGCAGAGTGGACAGTGAGAGAGAGAGAGACAGAGAGAAAGGTCTTCCTTTGCCGTTGGTTCACCCTCCAATGGCCGCCGCTGCAGCCGGCGCACCGCGCTGATCCGATGGCAGGAGCCAGGATCCAGGTGCTTTTCCTGGTCTCCCATGGGGTGCAGGGCCCAAGCACCTGGGCCATCCTCCACTGCACTCCCTGGCCATAGCAGAGAGCTGGCCTGGAAGAGGGGCAACCGGGACAGAATCCGGCGCCCCAACCGGGACTAGAACCCGGTGTGCCGGCGCCGCAAGGTGGAGGATTAGCCTATTGAGCCACGGCGCCGGCCGCAAGATTACATTTTTATCTACATTTCCATTATAGCAGTATGACAGACTTCACTGACATCAGTAATGCAGTAGAAGTGTCCCAGCCCCAGTGTATTATGTCCCTTTTGAATTTCTTTTTTTGTTTTTTAAGAACTTTGCATTTGCCTTACCTAATTCTATATAAATGGGTCATGTAACAGGTAATTAATAGCATTTTGACAATCCCTGTGGATGAACTTGTGTTACCATAAAACTGCCTGTCGTTACTTTTAAAGCCTTTAAAACTTTTTTGAAAGACTCCAAAAAATCATATTTGAGATTTTTATTCCTGAGATATGAGGGTAGAATTTCTGTATTGCTTCTCTGTGATGATTTAGATCATACTAAACATAATGTTTTTACATAAATCATAAGAAATTACTATTTAGTAGCTGTGTTTTTGTAATCATTTTTATATCCTATGTATCGAGTTTTCCAGGCCTAGTTAAAGTATTCTACACAGTATGGTCACAGAGATAGGAAGTTAAGTATAATTCCATGAAAAATCTTAGGTGATTAGAGCTGTGAGACCTATAGAAACTTTTTTTTTTTTTTTTTTTTTTTTGACAGGCAGAGTGGACAGTGAGAGAGAGAGAGAGAGAGAGAGAAAGGTCTTCCTTTTGCCATTGGTTCACCCTCCAATGGCTGCCACGGCTGGCGCGCTGCGGCCTGCGCACCGCACTGATCCGAAGGCAGGAGCCAGGTGCTTCTCCTGGTCTCCCATGGGGTGCAGGGCCCAAGCACTTGGGCCGTCCTCCACTGCCTTCCCTGGCCACAGCAGAGAGCTGACCTGGAAGAGGGGCAACCGGGAAAGAATCCGGCGTCCCGACCGGTACTAGAACCCGGTGTGCCGGCGCCGCTAGGTGAAGGATTAGCCTATTGAGCCGCGGCGCCGGCCAGAGACCTATAGAAACTTAAACATGTGACATCTTTATTATAAGTTTGTAAGTAAAATTTTATACCTATGGAACTTAAAGCTGTTTGCTTAATCATTATGTTTTATTTCTATATTTTAAAATTCATACATTGTTTTTACAGGGCTCACTTTTAGAAGGCTAAAATCCTCTCTTAGTTTTATTATTATAGTTTTCATGCTAAAGAAGAAAGTAATATGTAAAATAGAAAATGTGACAAGCAGTCCAGCTGGAGATTAGAGGAGAAACAGGGAAAAGTGGATTATAAGATAAGGGGTTGGGAAATTTCTTTCTGCTTTGAATGGTATTTGGTAGTTATGAGATACAGTTTCAAAGTTAACCCACAGAGAGATTTTCCTGTCACTTCAGAATTTCCTCAGTATTGAAAATCCAAAAAGAAGAATGTTACCTCTTTCATAAGCCAGTTTTGTGTGTTTTTACATGGACTTAAAGAGTTTTTCTGTCAGGCTTACAAAATACCTTAAAGTGTCTTAAAACTGATGAGTTGTAGAAGTCAATTCAGAAACCTGAGCTATCTTTGTTGGACACTGGTTTTCTGAAATGCCTTTTCAGAAATGGGATTTTTTTTTTTTTGCATTTTTCAAAGAAAAACTGGTATAGGTAGTTACCAGGACCAGTGAGTGTTGAGAAATCTGCTATTAAAACAGAGTTTTTGAGTTTTACCGTGGTACCAGCAAACCTTTTCCAAGGGAAAAGGGCCTTTAATTTCCTTTTGTCTTTTGTGAAATCAGATTCTGTTAATAGGAAACTCGAGGGTATACCCAAACCTGACTACTTAATATGCAAATTAATCTGTGATGCCTTCTTTTGAGCATCATTGGATGGTCTTTTTTGGTTTGTTTTTAGGATTTGTTTTATTTATTTGAAAGGCAAAGATACAGAGACAGAGGGAGAGACAGAAATAGAGGTCTTCCGTCTTCTGGTTTATTTCCCAAATGGCCTCAACAGCCAGGGCTGGGCCAGGCTGAAGCCAGGAGCTTCTTCCAGGTCTCCCACATGGGTGCAGAGGCCCAAGCACTTGGGCCATCTGCTGCTGCTTTCCCAGGCACATTAACAGATAACTGGATGGAAGGTGCAATAGCCTGTACTGGAACATGCACCAATATGGGGTGCTAGTGTCGCCAGTGGACGCTTTACCTCCCACACCACAGCACCGGCCCCTGGATGCTCTTTTTCAAAAGCAATTGGGTATCTCATGATAATAAGTCTCTGTTTTCTATCTAAATTGTTTATGACCTTATAGACTGCCAGATCAATTTATAAACTTTTGTCTATCCAGAGTACAGTTTTAGGAATTTGGCCTAACTTAAAATAAAATTATACCTAATAGTTTTTATTACTTAACTGATTTTCTTTTCGTCTCTCCTCTATTTATTAAGGTGTAGTGAGAACATGAAGTTTTCTAGTTTATAGGCATTTTTTTTGCATTGAATGTTCATTACTTTAAAAAATACACAAGATATTTTTTAAAAAGATTAATTTTAATTATTTGAAAGACAGAATTACAGAGAGAGGTAGAGAGAGAGAGAGAGGTCTTCCATCCACTGGTTCACTACCCAAATGGGTGCAATGGCCAGAACTGAGTTGATCCAAAGCCAGGAGCCAGGAGCTTCTTATGGGTCTCCCACATGGGTGCAGGGATCCAAGGACTTGGATCATCTTCTACTGCTTTCCAGGTCCGTAGCAGAGAGCTGGATCAGAAACGGAGCAGCTGGGACTCAAACTGGCGCTGCAGGCCAGGGCTTTAACCTGCTGCACCACGGTGCTGGCCCCCAAAATATTCTAATATTCCAAGTGACAGTAAAGCTAGGATTAGCTAAAAATGAGAACATTTGCTATTTCAGCTATAATTATCTTATCTAAAAGGTATTAATATAAAAACCAGAAAAATAATTTGCATCACATAGGAATTTAGCTAGTGAAAATCATACAAGATGTCAAGTTCAAATACTTTAAATATTTTGTTTCTTGTCCTGTATATGATTTTGTTTAATAGCATTTTAAAGAAGACTTTCTTTAAATCTTTTTATCTCCTCATCAACAATTTTTTTTCTTGGGAAAATAAAATGTGGTTTTTATTTCTTGAAACTGCTGACAGTCTAAAGAATGTTAAGCTTAGTTTGGAAAGATAATGAATAGCAAATGTCATCTTTTCTTACCTTCCTAACCATTAATCTGTATGGCCAACTCATCAGAGATAAGGGGTAGATATTTTTGTCATGTATATTTATTAAAATTCATTCTTATTTTTATGTGAAATTCTATCTGACTTCTCCCCACTACCTTGTCTTGAAACACCATCATTTAGCAAATAGGGAAAGTAACATTTTTAGAGACTGTAAACCATTTGTGGTGAATGTAAGGATAAATTTTGTAAAGCTCAGTGTATTTTCTGGGTCACTGTGTGTGTGTATTTGTGCGCATGTGTATATATGTGTAGCTGGGATGCTAAACAGATGCCATACCAGTTGTAGAAGGCTTAATAGCCATAAAATGTGGGAGATATGTGTATATATAAATATTTACCTCTAGTATCTGTACACTCATTGGTCTCTTCAGACTGTCATTTCATATTTTCAGAAAGAATAACAGTCAGTTTTCTAAAGTTGCAACCATGCTTTTAGTGTTTTTTTCAAGTGTATACAGATTTCAGAATAAAAATTGAAAAACAGAAAGCAAAATTCAACCTATAATTTTGCATCTGTTAGGAAATATGTGTAGAAGACTTGAATCTGGGAAGCTCACTGATTATTTTGATGATAACATGTTTTTAATGAGCCTGTGCATTTTAAGAAATTCTTAAAACTAAAGATGTTAACCTTCACCTAACCATGAGATACTTAAGTTCAAAACAGTATTTGAACTATAAGAATTTAGATAATGGTGTTTTCTTTAATGCCCTGGGAAAGAACATTCTATTTCTTAATATTTCACATAAGATTTCTTTTTAAATGATTAATACTATATCTAATTTTATGTTTGGCTTTTCAAATATTAGTACTCTGAGTACGAAGAGCTTAAAAGTAAATTTCACTTACACAAAAATTCTCTTTAAAAGAAAATGGATGATTACTGATAGAATGAATACTATTTAATTTTGAGTTTTAATTAAACTTAGAAAATATCTGCCCATTATCATCGGTGTATGCTTTTTTTTTTAAGTAATTCACTTTCCCAAAATGTGCTTACAATTGTTTTTCTGGCATATTTGTTTGGATTGTGAAATGTACAGTATTTATTTAATATTGTAAAAAATTATAGATTATTGCATCTTCTGTATTATGGTTTCATGTGAATAATTTACCATTTCTTTCTGTTTTCCATTGAACTATTCAGTGGTCGGTGAAGATGGTAAGCCTTATGTGCTGATCTATATACTGTGCCAACATTAAGTAATCTCAAAACATTGTTTTGTTAATTCAAAACAAATGGTAAAGTACATCTCACATTTTGTGTGTGTTTTTTCTTTTTATAATTTAATCTGTAGTCCAGCATATGCCAGTACTCTCAGTGTCATAAGACTAAAAAATAATGTGGTTAACTGTCATCAACCCATTAAGTTATAAATGTTATTGGGTGGAGTTCATGTCATGTTACAGAGGGAGAATAAAATTATGGTTAAATATTTAAAAAGTACATAGTAGAGCAAAAGTTCATGTTTTTATGAAGAAGAAAAATTTAGCTAAAATCATTTTTAGTACCCTTTGGAAAGATCATATGAAGTTGATTTGCAGTGTCTGACAAGAACTCTTAGATTTTTCCAAAAACAAAGAAAGAAAAGTTAGTGCTCTATTCTTCTGAACTACTGAAGGGGAATAGAAGCACATATGATGTAAATATCTGTGTGTGTGTGTGTGTGTGTGTGTGTTCCATTTGACATTTATTTCAAACAAATTAATTGAGCTACATTATGAGGAGCTAACCCCAAAATTACTGGGAGCTTATATAGGAGCTATACCAAATAACTTGCGGGAAATAAACTAATCTTTTTTTAGACAATTCCAATTTAGCATTTTGTAAATTCTCATGTAGTAAGTGAATTAACTACTAAATTTAAAAGGAACTTTGTACAGGAAATTTTGTGATTAATTTATCTAGGGCAGACTTGGTTGGTTGATAGTCTTATTCCTGGTGACTGAAAGTTGAAAAAACAAAAGCTACTTGGAAAAGACGCCCTACTTTTTGTTGGCAAGCATGTTAGATGTCCATAATTGCAGGCCACTGGGAAAAGATAGTGGGGATTGTATTATTAATTAAATGTTTAATTTGATCATGGCTTATCTTAAAAGTGAATTTTCTTTTTTAAAAAAGTAAGAAATCTTATAGTTGGTGAAATAAAACAATTTAGCATTTTTTAGGTTTAAGTGACAAGGATGCATTTATTTTGGGAGCTCATTTCAATAATGCTTTAAAAAATTGAACTATACTCATATTCTTAAAATAAACATTTTTGAAAAGAAAAATGAAGATATTATTTTTTGGAGTATATAAAATAATATTAGGTTTATATTAAATGGATTGAATAGTTGTTAATTAATGAGTTCTGTTCTAATAACTTAGCTAAAGTAACAGTGACTGAAATATTTAAAAGGAAAAAGATCACTTCAATCAGAAATTTACATCTCAATGCTAGCACTTTCTCTTAAATGATATTGTTTTTTGAATATCAAAACATCTAAATTTTCAGACATCAAACATCTTTCCTACAGATGAAATATGTCTTTGGATTATATCATTCCTTTAGAAAATAAGGTATTACTTGGATTAACAAAGGATAACTGTACATGTACTCTTTCTGCAAATATATTTTCTCCTCACTTGGTAGTTCTGCATTTTTTTTTAATGATTTATTTATTTACTTGCAAGTCAGAGTTACACAGAGGAGAGGCAAAGAGAGAGAGAGAGAGAGAGGGAGAGGGAGAGGGAGAGAGGTCTTCCATTCGATGGTTCACTCCCAAATTGGCCACAATGGCCAGAGGTGCGCCGATCCGAAGCCAGGAGCCAGGAGCTTCTTCTGGGTCTCCCATGTGGGTACAGGGGCCCAAGGACTTGGGCCATCTTCTACTGTTATCCTAGGCCATAGCAGAGAACTGGATTGCAAGTAGAATAGCCGGGTCTTGAACCGGCGCCCATATGGGATGCCAGCACTTCGGGCCAGGGCGTTAACCCGCTGTGCCACAGTGCCGGCCCCTGTATTTTGTTATTTAATGATCACGTATGTTTTGATCCTCAAGAATGGTTAATTAAGTGTAATCATTCAAAAGCTATATGTAGTATTATAGTTCATTAATAAGATTTTCTTTATGAGGTAAGTTGCTTCTTAGTTATATAAACTCTCCATATTTTTAGTTTGAACATTTGTAACATTCTGAGTATCATGTCAATGGGTTTGATTTGGGAATGTGGTGATAATAAAATAACTTGTATAGATGAAAAATGTTATGTGTTTCCATTTTGTTGTTGTTGCTGTAAGAAGGTTCATATGTATCCATTTTACTCTGCCAAGGCCTGAAAATGATGTGGTATTAGTCACTACCAGTTATCTGTATCTGGTGGTATTTTTGCCTATTCTGTTTTGTGGTTTTATAAAATGACTGAAATTTGAACTCTTTCTTCAGTAGACTTGTTTTCATTAATCTACACATGTAGATTTCTCTTTTTTGAAAGAAGTTGTTTGAAGCAGATTTGAAATTAACCTTAAAATTGGTGTATTAATTTTGTAGCACGTAAATTTAAAAAATAAAATTCCCTGAAAATGTCTTTTATAGTGATTTAGACTCTTTTTTTTCAGGGCCCAGCACTAGAAGATTTCAGTCATCTGCCACCAGAACAGAGACGTAAAAAACTACAGCAGCGCATTGATGAACTTAACAGAGAACTACAGAAAGAATCCGACCAAAAGTATTATTCCTTGAAGTCCCCATCTATCATTATTTATTTTAGGATCTAAATGTGTCTAAGTGTGTTATATAAAAAGTTTCAAAACAATATCCCTAATTGAGAGAAAAATATACTCCTAAACTGTAAAGTGTTACCATGTCATAGGTAAAAAATGTAATACTAGAGAATTTCTGTGGTTACAGATTTTTATTCGATTCTCATAATTATCCCTTCCATAAATTTGCAAAATAGTTTGATGATTCATTCATTGACATTAAGCATCTCTTACACTTTGATAAATTTTCCTTACAAATTGAATTTAATATCAACCTTGGGCAATAATTATTTTGTTTGCTTCAAAGCATGTTGTCAGATATTGTTGGATTACTTACAGACTTATATTTTTCAAATTTAATTTTTTTTTCTGGGGCTGGTGTGGCGGTGTAGCGGGTAAGGCCACCCACTATGATGCTGGCATCCCGTGAAGGTGTCAGTTTGTGCCCTGGCTGCTCCACTTCCAGTCCAGCTCCCCGCAATGGCCTAGGAAAAACAGCAGAGTGGAAGATGGCCCAAGTGTTTGGGCCCCTGCTACCCATGTGGGAGACCTGGGTGAAGCTCCTAGCTCCTGGCTTTGACCTGTTCCAGTGTTGGCCATTGTGGCCATCTGGAGACTGAACCAGCAGATGAAAGATCTCTCACTCTCTCTCTCTCTTTTCCTTCTCTGTTGCTGTAACTCAGACTTTCAAAATAAATAAAAAATCTTCCAGAAAATTTTTTCTTTACAAAAACTTTAGTTTGTTTTTAAAAATGGACATAGAGTAGCTCTTTGTGATGAGTTACAATGAATTGACAGCTTGCTATCTCTACACTAAAGAAAACTCTAGCATGAGAGATTGAAAGTTTTAATTTTTTTTAATGTGATTTCTCTATTTGATAGAATGATAGTGAGAGAGGAGAGATAGAGAAAGAGCTCTTTCATCCGAATTGGTTCACTCTTCAAATGGCTACAATGGCGAGTATTGGATCAGACGAAGCTGGGATCCAGGAACTCCATCCTGATCTCCTAAGTGGATGGCAAGGGCCCAAGCACTTGGGTCGTCTTCTATTTCCTTTCTGGGCACATTAGCAGGAAGTTGGGTTGGAAGTGGAACAACAGGGATTTGAACTGGGACTCGGATATAGGATGCTGGCATCACAAGCAGTGGCTGTAATCTGCTGCACCACAGTGCCAGCCCCTCATTCTTCACAGTAGTTACGGTCTATAAGGTCACTATGAGCACAGTACAATTATTTTCAAGATTTATTTATTTATTTATTTATTTATTTTAAAGGCCAGAGTTACAGAGAGGGAGAGAGAGCGAGAGAGATCTTCCATCTGCTGTTTTATTCCCCAAATGGCAGCAATGGCCAGAGCTGGGCTGATCAGGAGCCAGGAGCTTCCCAGGTCTCCCATGTGCCTGCAGGGGCCCAAGCACTTAGGCCATCTTCTACTGTTTTCCCAGGCCATAGCGGAGAACTGGATTGGAAGTGGAGCAGCCGATACTTGAACTGGTGCCCATATGGGATGCCGGTGCTGCAGGCCAGGGGTTTAACCCGCTGTGCCCGCTTTACTTAATACATGCTTGCACTCTGCTGATAGCAGTGTGATTCATGTCTGAACAAAGCCTGTCTGGTGCACGTATTCTCCATAAGTAACATTACAGCGTTCTCATGCTTAGAAAGACTAGACAGCACTTCAGCACTGTGATTATGGGCCATTTTAAACACCAAGATCACCAATATAAAGCACAAAAAATGTGAAAAACATAACACTAAATAGCTTGAAAAAAGAACAGGCATTGAGAATATGAGAACAGAAACAAGGCCAAGGGATTAGCCTTGACATCTTCTAGAAACTTAAATATGCCTTCAGTGACTCAAATTTTTCTCTGCTGTGTGTCCGTAAGTGACCACAAAAGCACTTTTTTCACACTGATTTTAGGGTTACAAATAAATTTAGCAAGTAGACAAATATACAGATATGGAATTTATAAATAATGAGTGTCACCTGTATTAGTTTTGGATGCTGAAGTATCCCTGGAAAATATAACATTTAGTCCACATTTGGGGCTTACCATAGATAATAGGCTATGGCAGGACCCTAGAAGATAGAAAAGTGAATAAAATATAGTTCCTGATCCTAAGAGGCTTATTCTAGTTTCACAAATGACTTAAAGATTTCTACACAGGCTAGGTTGTGGTAGCTGCTAACAGAGATAAATAAACTTCCAGCAGAACCTAAGGAAAGAATGATGAGTTTTACTGGGATGATTAAGAAAGACTTCATTGAAGAGAGGCTGGGTAAGAGGGAGGGCTGTGATCTAGTATATGAATGTTGATTGAGGGATTGTTACATTAAAGTGCTAAATCAGGCATTTCACATAGACTGTGTCACTGAAACCCTCAAAATAGCCCTCCAAGGTTGTTATTCCTATATGTAAATAGAGAGGCTGGGTATCAGTTAAATAGGTGTTTTGTCTAAGATTAGAAAACTAGTAAGTGTCAGAATTAACATCTAGGTACTAGCTAGTTTGTCTCCAGGGTAGAGGAATTGAACCTTTGATGGGAGGATAGTGAGACACAAAAGTGAGAGAGAAGGGATGGAACGTTCAAAGAAATGGGAAAAATAAGAAGAAAGACAGAATTGTGAGTGTTCTTACCATGGGCTGCACCTAACTCTAACCCAGAGATACTTAATTAAAAATTATGTGAAATATAATCACAAAAGATGAGGATGAAAAGGTATAAGGGTGAATTATGGAAAATCGTGAATGCTTTTCTGTGGAGTTTTTTTTTGTTTTTGTTTTTGTTTTTAAGATTTATTTAGGGGCTGGCGCTGTGGTGCAGCAGGTTAAGGCCGTGGTCTGAAGTGCCAGCATCCCATATGGGTGGCCAATTCAAGACCCAGCTGTTCCACTTCCAATCCAGCTCTCTGCTAAGGCCTGGGAAAGCAGTGGAAGATGGCCCAAGTCCTTGGGCCCCTGCACCCGTGTGGGAGACCTGGAAGAAGCTCCTGGCTTCAGATCGGCACAGCTCTGGCCGTTGGCGGCCAATTTGGGAGTGAACCATCGAATGGAAGACCTCTCCCTCTCTCTCCCTCTCTCTCTGCCTTTCCTCTCTCTGTAACTCTGACTTTCAAGTAAAATAATTAATTAAAAATTTTTATTTATTTATTTGAGAGGCAGAGAGAGAAGTCTTCCATTTGCTGGTTCATTCCCCATATGGCCTCAATTGCTGTAGCTGGGCTGATCCAAAGCCAGGAACCAGGGGCATCTTCCAGGTCTCCCATGTTCATGCAGGGGCCCAAGTGCTTGGGCCATCTTCTACTGCTTTCCCAGGCCATAGCAGAGGGCTGGTTCGGAAGTAGAGCAGCCGGGACTTGAACCCTCAGCCATTTGGGATGCTGGCACTACAGGCAGCAGCTTTACCCACTGTGTCACAGCGCCAGCCCCTTCTGTGGAGTTTTGTAGGTATTGGGCAATTATCTTAAGTCGGTTAGAGAAGAGATGATACTGTTAATTCTAAATGTAGAAAAAAAAGATAATTGAAAGCCGTATTAAGAGTAGATCATATAGGAAACAGATTGGAGGCAGGAAGACTAGGGGGCTTTATAACAATCTCAGTGAGAGAACCTCAGGGCCTAAATTAATGCATGAGCATAGGAATAGAAAGGATGAATACATTTGAGAGTCATTTCTTTTTTTTTTTTTTAATTTAATTTTTTTATTTTTTTGACAGGCAGAGTGGACAGTGAGAGACAGAGAGAAAGGTCTTCCTTTTCCATTGGTTCACCCTCTAATGGCTGCTGCGGCCGGCGCACTGCGCTGATCAAAGCCAGGAGCCAGGTGCTTCTCCTGGTCTCCCATGCGGGTGCAGGGCCCAAGGACTCCACTGCACTCCCAGGCCACAGCAGAGAGCTGGACTGGAAGAGGGGCAACCGGGACAGAATCCGGCGCCCTGACAGGGACTAGAACCCGGTGTGCCGGCGCCGCAGGCAGAGGATTAGCCTAGTGAGCCGTGGCGCTGGCCTGAGAGTCATTTCAAAGCCAAAGGTTAGATGTTTCCTTTGATTGAATGTCCAAGAAGAGAAAAATCAAGGTAGTTTAAAAAGAAAAGGTTCTAGCTCAGGAGTATAGCTATAGGATTAATCAAAATAATAAGAGAAAAATAAATTTGAGATAATGATAATGGTTTGTTTATATTGATTTTTTAAGATTTATTTATTTATTTGAAAGTAAGAGTTACACAGAGGAGAGGCAGAGAGATAGAGGTCTTCCATCTGCTGGTTCACTCCCCGGTTGGCCGTAACAGCTGGAGCTGCATGATTGTCTTCCACCTGGGTGCAGGGGCCCAAGGACTTGGGCCATCCTCCACTGCTTTCCCAGGCCACAGCAGAGAGCTGGATCAGAAGTGGAGCAGCCGGGACTAGAACCAGTGGGTATGCTGGCACTGCAGGCAGCAGCTTTACCTTCTAGACCACAGCACCGGCCCCTATATTGATTTTTGAAATATGTGAAAAGTCTGTATTGGAAGTGTCCAGTTAGTTTTAGAAATAGGAGTCTAGAATTTAGGAGAGGATTGGAGATGTACACTTAAGAATCATCTGAAAGGTATTATTACAACAATAAGAGATCATCCTCAAAGAAGGTGGTGTGGGATGAGATGAGAAGAAACTGCTGTCAGTTTATATAATAGACATTTAAAAGTTGAACAAAGGAGAAGGAACCAGTGAGGAAGATTGTGAGAAGGCAGAAATGAGGAGGAGGACAGAGAAAAATTTAACATCAAGGTTAAAAAGGAAAAAGAGTTATGAAGGAGTTTTAGTCAATAGTGTCAGATGTTAGAGAGGGTCAAGGAGAGCTGACTGGGTTATAACCTGTCAGGACGTGATTAGAAAAGAGGAAATGAGTTAGAAAGAATTGGCAAATGACTTAATTTAGAGGGAGGGGACAAGTTAAAATTGGCTTTCCTATTTCTAGCATAAATGAGTGTAAGGAGACGATGCTGTGTGAGCTCAGTACAGGAATCATGTGGCTGGCTACGTGGGAATATAATGAGTTGGTTTTGGGACATAGAGAGTTTAATGATATTGAGGAATTGGGATTGATGTGGCACAGCAGGCCAAGCCACCTCTGATGCTGGCATCCCATATTGGAGTGCCAGTTCAAGTCCAGGCTGCTGTACCTATGACCCAACTTCCTGCTAATGCACCTGGGAAAGCAGCAGAGATAGCCTTAGTACTTGGTCCCCTGCCACCCAGGTCCATCAGAGACCTGGCTCCTGGCTTCCCCCTGGCCCAACCCTAGCCATTGTGGCTATGTGAGGAGTAAACCAGTGGTTGGAAAATTTGTCTCTCTTCTCTGTCGCTCTGTCTTTCAAATAAATAAAATCTTAAAAAAAAGTTCTAGTTGTCGATTAAACCTATATATATGGAATATACACACACATACATGGAGTCTTCAAAACATTCATAGAAAATTAATGTAACCTTTTGTTTTATCAGAGAGAGAATGAAAATGTGCCTCTCTATGGTTCGTTCCCCAAATGTGCATAGTGGCTAGAGTTGGTCTGGGGCTAGTCCTAGGGTGAAACCAAGAGCCAGAAGCACAATACAAGTCTCTCATGTGGAAGGCAGGATCCCAATTAACCTGAATCATCACTACTGCCTACCAGGAATTGAACCCAGGCACTCTGATGTGGGACATGGATGTCTTAAATGCTAGGCTAAATGCTAGTCTTGTGTTGTCTGTGTGTGTGTGTGTGTGTATCAAATTTATTTATTTTAGCGGCAGAAAGGTGGAAAGGAAGAGGAAATAGAAGAGGAGGGAGGGAGGAGGAGAGAGAGAGCCAGAAATGGAGACAGGGAGGGAGCATGAATATGTTAGCTCTCATTTGTTGGTTTACTTCTCAAATGCCTGTAATGGCTGGGACTGGGCTGAGCTGAAGCCAGGAACTGGGAACTCAATCCAGGTCTTCTCACATGGGTTTCTGGATCCCATATACTTGAGCCATCACTGCTAACCCGAGTCTGCACTGGCAGAGAATAGAAACCTGGAGCCAAGAGGCACGTATAGACCCTAAGCACTCATATATGAACATGGGCGTCTTGACCATAGTCTTAGCAGTTACGCCAAATGCCCATGCCCACACCAATGCATTGTTTTTTAATAATGAACTTTTGAAGCCCCCTCATGTGTGTGTGTATATATATGTATATATGTGTACACATACACACATAAAAATAAGTAATCTGGGACAGGTTTTGTGGTGCAGTGGGTTAAGCCCCATAGCCTATGATGCCAGAATCCCGTATGGGTACTGGTTTGATTCCTGGCCACTCCACTTCCCATGTAGCTCCCTGCTAATGTACTAGGAAAGCAGCCTCTGTGCCCATGTGGGAGATCTGGATAAAGTTCCTGTCTCCTGTCTTTGGCCTGGCTCAGCCCCAGCCATTGCAGCCATCTGGGAAGTGAACCAGCAGGTGGAAGTTCTTTCTGTCTGGGCCAGCGTTGTGGAGTAACAGGTTGAGCCGCTGCCTTTGATGCCAGCATCCCACGTGGGTGCTGATTTGGGTCACGACTGTTTCACTTCCAATTCAGCTCCCTGCTAATGTGCCTGGGAAAGCAGCGAAGGATGGCCCAAGTGTTTGAGCCCCTGTACTCACATGGGAGACCTAGATAAGGCTCCTGGCTCCTGGCTTTGGCCTGATTCAACCTTCGTCATTTGGGGAGTGAACCAGTGGGTAGATGACATCTCTCTCTCTCTAGCTCTAGCTCTAGCTCTTTCAAAAAAAAAAAAAAAAATCTTTTTGTCTCTCTAACTCTGCCTTTCAAATAAATAAATAAGTCTTTAAATAAATGAATAATCTTGTTTAGAAAACAAGAAATGAGAAAATTTCACTTGGGGTATTCTAAATATCTCTGTAAGTCACTAACTATAATACATTATGAGCTTTATGCAAATTAATGTTAACAGATGTTAACTTGAAAAAGATAATGACTTTACTTAAGATTGAGAGATAATTCCAAAGTCAAACTTTATCTGGAAGCTGATGAAATAAACATTTACTTATGTATTTTCCTTTTCTTTTTTAGAGAGGCACTCAACAAAATGAAAGATGTGTATGAGAAAAATCCGCAAATGGGAGATCCAGGGAGTTTGCAGCCCAAATTAGCAGAGACTATGAATAACATTGACCGCTTACGAATGGAGATCCACAAGAATGAGGTAGACTTGTTACTCAGGAGTTGTCTGAGATAAATTATTTCTTTTTTTTTTTTTTTTTTTTTTTTGACAGGCAGAGTGGACAGTGAGAGAGAGAGAGACAGAGAGAAAGGTCTTCCTTTGCTGTTGGTTCACCCTCCAATGGCCGCCGCAGCCAGCGCGATGCGGCCGGCGCACCGCGCTGATCCGATGGCAGGAGCCAGGAGCCAGGTGCTTTTCCTGGTCTCCCATGGGGTGCAGGGCCCAAGCACCTGGGCCATCCTCCACTGCACTCCCGGGCCACAGCAGAGAGCTGGCCTGGAAGAGGGGCAACCGGGACAGAATCCGGCGCCCCGACCGGGACTAGAACCCGGTGTGCCGGCGCCGCTAGGCGGAGGATTAGCCTAGTGAGCCGCGGTGCCGGCCTGAGATAAATTATTTCTATAAACTTCCTTGGCCGGCACCACAGCTCAGTAGACTAATCCTCTGCCTTGCGGCGCCGGCACACCGGGTTCTAGTCCCGGTCAGGGCACTGAATTCTGTCCCGGTTGCCCCTCTTCCAGGCCAGCTCTCTGCTGTGGCCCGGGAGTGCAGTGGAGGATGGCCCAAGTGCTTGGGCCCTGCACCCCATGGGAGACCAGGAGAAGCACCTGGCTCCTGCCTTTGGATAGGCGCGGTGCGCAGGCCATTGGAGGGTGAACCAATGGCAAAAGGAAGACCTTTCTCTCTGTCTCTCTCACTCACTGTCCACTCTGCCTGTCAAAAAAAAAAAACAAAAAACAAAAAACAAAAAAAAAAACTTCCTTATGATAGATTGTTTTTTACTAGAATTATGTTCAAGTACCTACATTTAACTTTAGAGTTTATGATCAAAAAGTAAAATATTATGGTGTATAATCCTTAAATTATTCTCTTATTGAAATTTTTTATTTAAACCTTTATATAAAATGAACATTTGTACTGTTTTTCAAATCAATTGTAAAGTTGATCATTACCAAATTAGAATAAAGATTTCCATTTCTCAGAATTACATAATTATAAAAACTAAAAGCTGGCCAGTGCCGCGGCTCACTAGGCTAATCCTCCGCCTTGCGGTGCCGGCACACCGGGTTCTAGTCCCGGTCGGGGTGCCGGATTATGTCCCGGTTGCCCCTCTTCCAGGCCAGCTCTCTGCTGTGGCCAGGGAGTGCAGTGGAGGATGGCCCAAGTGCTTGGGCCCTGCACCCCATGGGAGACCAGGATAAGTACCTCGTTCCTGCCTTTGAATCAGCGCGGTGCGCCGGCCACAGCACGCCGGCCGCAGCGGCCATTGGAGGGTGAACCAATGGCAAAGGAAGACCTTTCTCTCTGTCTCTCTCACTGTCCACTCTGCCTGTCCAAAAAAAAAAAAAAAAGATTAAAAAAAAACTAAAAGCACATTTTAAATGTGGGATATCTTATGAACTTTGAAACATATTTATTGACCTCAAATATTTTGCTTACTTTTTTTCTAAGGCTTGGCTCTCTGAAGTTGAAGGCAAAATAGGTGGGAGAGGAGACAGAAGACATAGCAGTGACATAAATCATCTTGTAACACAGGGACGAGAAAGGTAACTGTGCATTTTATTTGTACTTCCTCTTGTCCTCAAACTTTTTCAACCTTTTGTACTAACCTTCATAAATTGTTTTCTTCCTGAATTTAACAGCTTTGACATTTAATAACTTAAATCTTATGAATCTAAGTAATTGTCTTTAACAACAGTTACAGGGGAAGTCTGAAATTTCATCTTACTGTTCGGTTGGAATTTATTACACATCCAAAATAACCAGGAACACAGAAAATTCTTGAAGTTGTAATCTGTGGTGATAAGGGAATCTTCTGCCTGAGAGCCTTAAGATGTAGGTGGAGGCCGGCGCCGCGGCTCACTAGGCTAATCCTCCGCCTGCAGCGCCGGAACACCCGGTTCTAGTCCCGATCGGGGCGCCAGATTCTGTCCCAGTTGAGGCGCTGGATTCTGTCCCAGTTGCCCCTTTTCCGGGCCAGCTCTCTGCTGTGGCCTGGGAGTGCAGTGGAGGATGGCCCAAGTCCTTGGGCCCTGCACCCCATGGGAGACCAGGAGAAGCACCTGGCTCCTGCCTTCAGATCAGCGCGGTGCGCCGGTCGCAGCACACCGGCTGCGGCGGCCATTGGAGGGTGAACCAACGGCAAAAGGAAGACCTTTCTCACTGTCCACTCTGCCTGTCATAAATCTCTGTCAAAAAAAAAAAAAGGGTGTTGGTGGAAAAAATGCAGCGCTAAAAAAGTTTTGAAAGTTTTTGTCAAATTGCTCAAGTTTTGGAAAGAAAAATAAGAAAAATGATGTGAATTGATTGTTTGGATCACAGCTTCCAAACAGCATTTTACTAATTTCCATATTTTGATATCACTTGTGACATTTCTCCTGTGGTATAATAGATCTTTTTTTTCCTCCATGATAAAAGGTACCCAAATTAAGATTCACCTTTGAGAGGAATTTGAGGTTTAGTATCAAATCTTGGTTTGCTACTTAATTACCTAATTTGAACAAGTTCAATTTTAATGCTCCATGAGTCTCAGTTTCCTGAAACATGGAATAGAAGTTAGAATACCTACAGGTCATTAGTAATAAAGGAAATAAGTGCATAAGTACCTTATAAGAGAATACCTGGTAATAGTTTGTATCTCACAAATGTTAGTTCCTCGCTCTCCTGTTTATCCTCTGTCATTTTTTTAATATTTATTTTTTGAAAAACAGAACTAGAGAGGTAGAGACAGAGAGAGAGGTCTTCCATCTGCTGGTTTGCTTCCTCCAAATGGCCACAAGAACCAGGGCTGTGCCAAGCCCAAGCCAAAGCCAGGAGCCAGGAGCTTCTCCACTGGGCCATCCTCCTCTGCTTTCCCAGGCACATTAGCAGGGAGCTGGATTGGAAGTGAAGCAGCCGGGACAGGAACCGGTGCCCATATGGGATGCCAGCACCACCATCATTTCTTAAAGAATGCATATCTTCAGTTTATCAAGAGATATTCACAAATAACTGTTTTTTGTTATTAGGTAAAAACCCAGGTTAAAAACATCTGTTCTGTTTGGTGTGTATTAAATTAAGAACTTGGCTCTGAAAGTGCTGTTAAATCTAAACCTGTCAATTTTTCCATTATTAAAATTATATTCATTTGATTACTCAACAAAAGTAGTAACATTCTCTCTTTGATTTAAAACATTTTATTTATTTAAAATTTTATTATTTATTTATTCGAAAGGCAGAGTTAGAGAGAGGGAGGGAGAGACAAAGGTCTTCCATTTGCTGTTTCACTCCCTAAATGGCCACAATGACCATGGCTGGGCCAGGCTGAAGTCAAGAATCAAGAGGTTCATCTGGGGCTGGCGCTGTGGCACACTAGGTTAATCCTCCGCCTGCGATACTGGCATCCCATATGGGCACCGGGTTCTAGTTCCGCTTGCTCCTATTCCAGTCCAGCTCTCTGCTGTGGCCCGGGAGGGCAGTGGAGGATGGCCCAAGTGCTTGGGCCCCTGCACCCGCATGGGAGACCAGGGGGAAGCACCCGGCTCCTGGCTTCAGATCGGTGCAGCGCCAGCCGTGGCGGCTATTTGGAGAGTGAACCAACGGAAGAAAGACCTTTCTCTCTGTCTCTCTCACTGTCTGTAACTCTACCTGTTAATAAGAAAAGAAAAGAAAAGAGAAGAGAAGAGAAGAGAAGAAAAGAAAAAGAGCTTCATCTAAGTCTCCTACATGGGTGGCAAGGGCCCCAGAACTAGGATCATCTTCTGTTGCCCCAAGTGCATTAGCAGGGAGCTGGATCAGAAATGGCGCAGCCAGGACTCGAACCGTTGCCTGCATTGAAGATGGTGGCTTAATCTGTGCCAGAACACCAGCCCTTATTTAAAACATTTCTAAGAAAAGTAAAATGCCTTTGTATTACCTGCGCTTTCAGATTCTCTGAGTTGTTCCTAAGTTTCCTGTTATTGTGATTAATCAGAAACTAATTTTAATTCTTGTTTTAGTTAAGAGTCTTTTGGTTTTCAGTGACAGAATGAATACTTTACTCATCCTGCCTTAAATTAAAGATGGACTTCGTTGTTTGGCTTTAGGGAAAGCTTGTTCCTAGAGCTAAGATAACATCCTCAGGACTTAGTTTCTCTCCACCCTATAGCTCTGCCCTCTACATTGTTGACTGCACGTTAAGGCTTCATGTGGTGGTCTTCCGAAGCTCTGAGTATCCTTCAGGTTAAAACTCCATGAAAAATTGAATAAGCTGCTCATCCAGTAGTCTCAAACAAGTCCCTGTGTGTTCCTCATCTCTGGGCCGCAGGACCACTCGTGACTGCTCACTTCCACGCTGGATCCTGACTAGGAAGAACTTCACCTGGAACCTGTGACTGAGCATGGGTCTGAGTGTGTCCTCTAAGGAGGGGCGATGAGTCTGAAATGATGAAAGACAAATTTGCATTACATTTTTCTATTTCTAGACCCAGTGATAGTGAGATGTAGATACTGAATACTGTAATCTTATTAATTTTTTTATTTCAGGAAATTGAACAGAGAAATATTTTATATTAGAAGCAATTTATATGGTCAAAATTTAAGAAAACAGGGCTTGGGGCTGGCACTGTGGTATAACAGGAAAAGCTGCTGCCTGCAGTGCCGGCATCGCATATGGGTGCTGGTTCCGATCCAGCTCTCTGCTATGGCCTGGGCAAACAGTAGAAGATGGCCCAGTTCCTTTGGCCCCTACACCTGTGTGGGAGACCCAGAAGAAGCTCCTGGCTCCTGGCTTTAGATTGGTGCAGCTCTGGCTGTTGCAGCCAATTGGGGAGTGAACCAGCAGATGGAAGATGACCTTCTCTCTCTCTGCCTCTGTTCTCTCTGTGTAACTCTGACTTAAATAAATCTTTAAAAAAAAAAAAAAGAAATTTTTGGATCCATGTTATTGATACTTAATTTACTGTATGGATCCTGAGATAATCGTAGAAATAACATACAAAGAGTTCCCATGGCCGGCGCCACGGCTCACTGGGCTAATCCTCCACCTGCGGCACCGGCACACCAGGTTCTAGTCCCGGTCGGGGCACCAGATTTTGTCTGGTTGCTCCTCTTCCAGTCCAGCTCTCTGCTGTGGCCCTGTGGAGGCAGTGGAGGATGGCCCAAGTGCTTGGGCCCTGCACCTGCATGGGAGACCAGGAGAAGCACCTGGCTCCTGGCTTCGGATTGGTGCAGGGCACTGGTTGTAGTGGCCATTTGGGGGGTGAGCCAATGGATGGAAGACCTTTCTCTCTCTGTCTCTCTCACTGTCTAACTCTGCCTGTCAAAAAAAAAAATTCCCATGTTATGATATTTGATGGAAGATAATCTTATGTTTTACAGTCCTGAAGGAAGTTACACTGATGATGCAAACCAGGAAGTCCGTGGGCCACCCCAACAGCATGGTCACCACAGTGAGTTTGATGATGAATTTGAGGATGATGATCCTTTGCCTGCTATTGGACACTGCAAAGCTATATACCCTTTTGATGGTATGATTTTAACACACTATATTTGATAAAATGGTTTCATTGATGTCTGAACACACTGAGCCACTCACTTTAGTGGCCTTAGCTAAATAATACATTGTCAGAAAATTATAATCTTAATTCATTAGTATGCATATTTTTCTTTCAGTTATAATATAAATATGGAAGTTTTTCTTCCATACATGGAACTGAAAGAAAATTACTTATGTTATCAGTATCCTAATATAAATTATTACTTAAGTTTGGTTGATAACAGAATTTCTACCAGAGATCTTACTAATACTTATGTGGACTCAACAAAATTGAAGCAACATGAGCTGTAGCCCACCCAAGGAAGTTTGTAGCTGGTGGCTATCAGTGCATGCTCTTCCTTGCGGCTTACTAACATTGAAAGCCAGGTACAGTGTGTAGCTGAATATCATCATCATATCCTGACTCTAGATCACCTTTTCAGATGAGAGTGAGAGAGGAAATAGTAGCTTACCATTGTGCCATCTTTTCCTCTGTGGTGACTGGAGAATAAACTCTGTGAGGGAAGTCATTGTGACCCTCCTTAGATTTTTAATTACCCTTCCTTCTGAACTCTAAAAACCTTTTCCTCAACTAACAGGAGAGCAGAGTAACACCTTCTGAAGTAAGCTTGTAAAGTGGTATATGATTTAAGGTCTTTCTGTATTCACCTGTTGTGTTGGTTATAAAGTTGAGTAAAGTCTTTAGTTAGCCCTCATACTCAGATAATGAATTAATAAATTTCAAATCTTGCTATAATGTAATCTAGAGAGTAGGGAAGGAATCTAGCATATATTATATGAAGATCCTGTTACGAAAATTATTGCTGTTAAGTAAGTTGGGAATGGTTAGAAGAAAGGGTGTGGAGCCCAGTAAGGTCTTGAAGAAAGTTTGTGCTTTGTGGCCATTCTGCTTCCACCATCACCAGAGCTGAGCCTGCGTTTTTCTCTTCAAACTTTGTTCTTCCTTTTTTTTCCCCACTGTTTTACTGTCCTGTTAACTGTTTCCCTGATTCATACCTCATGAATTTTTAATGGAATTTTCTTTCTGCTTCTCCAATTCTTTTATTTTATCTTATTTATTTTTGAAAGGCAAAGACAGAGATTTTCCACCCAATTTTTCATCCCCGAAATACCTACAACAGCCAGTGCTGGGCCAGTCCAAAGCCAGGGCTGAAAATTCCACGCAGGTGTCTCACTTAGGTGGCAAGAGCCCAAGTACTTGGGTAAGCATCTGCTGCCTATCAAGTGCATAAGAAGGAAGCTGGTTTAGAAGTGGAAGTGGAACTTGATTCCCAGACACTCTGATATGGGATGTGGGTATTCCAGACTGTGGCTTTAACCCACTATGCCACAACACCCACCTTTCATGAGTTTTTAAGATAGCAGTACTTGAGGCCGGCGCCGCAGCTCATTAGGCTAATCCTCTGCCTAGCGGCGCCAGCACACTGGGTTCTAGTCCCAGTCGGGGTGCCGGATTCTGTCCCGGTTGCCCCTCTTCCAGGCCAGCTCTCTGCTGTGGCCCGGGAAGGCAGTGGAGGATGCCTTCGGATCAGCGTGGTGTGCGGGCCGCGGCGGCCATTGGAGGGTGAACCAATGGCAAAAGGAAGACCTTTCTCTCTGTCTCTCTCTCTCACTATCCACTCTGCCTGTCAAAAAAAAAAAAAAAGATAGCAGTACTACTTGAATTTGGGAAAGGAGTTGGGAATAGAGATATAAAGTACCCTGCTAAATCACATATTGTCTCTGTGACTCATTTTGCTCATCTGTTATCTGGAGGTGATATTAATACAGCTCCAAGAATTGTGCAGCTCAGAGAAGGGAGAATGTGTATAAAGTATTGAGAAAGTATCCCAGAGATGTTGTTGCCACTGAATCACTTGGTTCTCTGGTTCCAAGAGCATTGAAATCTAACAGCATTTCATGTTATTTTGTGTATTGTGTTTGTAACTTGCATTAAAAAGTAAAGTATCACTCTGCTTAAATTATGCTAATGTTATGAAAATTCTCATCTAGGACATAATGAAGGCACTCTGGCAATGAAAGAAGGGGAAGTTCTTTACATTATTGAGGAGGACAAAGGCGATGGATGGACAAGAGCCCGGAGACAGAATGGTGAAGAAGGCTACGTTCCCACATCATACATAGATGTAACTCTAGAGAAAAACAGTAAAGGTGCAGTAACTTATATCTAAACTAACCAGGTGGCTTTGTGCCATGTATGGCATAGAGGTGATAACATAAAATGGTTGGAAAAAATAAGCAAACTTAGAAGGCATCCAGATTTTATTGTTCACTATGTGAGCTGAGTGTAGGCTTGATCTTAGAAATGTGAGTATTACCACAAGATACTGTTTTGTGGTGCTTTCCCGTTGGAGTGATGTTGATGTGAAGCTTAACTGATGCCTTTTGCTTTATGTCCTGCTTAAGTCTGTGTGAAGGATTTGTGTTTCTCTGCCTAATTAGAGTTTGATTTATTGGGCAGGAATCTGTAGGCAGTGTGTGCCCCTCTGTCTCCTTGTCCCCTTTGCTTCAGAAAACACAGTGACTGGAGTGAATGCACATAAGTACAACTACTCCGAAATGCTGTAGAGCGCTGAGTGGTTTTTCTGGGAAAAAAGTATAGCTGGGCAAAATAATATGATCATTTTTTCCTCTCTCTGTTTTGGTTTCCTCAAGGAGGAAAATAAGTATCCAGCACATAACCTATTAAGTAGTAGGCTGAGAGAGCTGCAAAATGAGTCCCCCGCTCTAGCTGGCAGGCGAATAAAGCAGCTTTCTTTGCAGACCTGAGCTCTCCAGGTGTCCTGGTGATGCCCAGTAACGTCTGAGCTGCTTTCCAGAGTCACGTGCTTGTCTTTTCGTCTTGGAAATATCTTTTGGGAAGTATCACTTTTGTGCTTACTTCGCAGTTGGTAGTTATGCATAGGAAAATATTTCTAAGTCATTGAAGACAGAGGACATCTTGAATGGAGGGGATGTGCTGGCAAATTTTACTTTTGAAAAAGAGATTTTTTTAAAAAATAAATTGGCTTGAAGGAAGATACCTGTGATACCATTTAGGGCATTTCCTCATGTTAGACGAATCAGCAGTTACTAGGTCAGATTGGTTTTTTTCTCCCAATTTCAACAAGCATTTGTTAGAACTGCATGATCAAGGATTGTGCAGTGCTAATTGTGGTCTCAGCCTGTGCTGCTCGGGTGGCAGCAGAGTGAGGAAGCAGTTAGATTGGTCCTTGATTTTGTTCATGTTTCACATTTTTTCTGGGGCTTTTCAGTAGCTGACTATAAAATGACTTTAGAGACATTTGGGACACCCCTTTTGGTCTTTCCAAAGGTCTTCAGTAATTGTTCTTTTCTTTTTCCTCCTGGACTGCAGGTTCCTGAAGAGGGTTTCTGAGGAAATGGGCAAGATGTTGGAGGAGGTTACATGCAGCTGCTTGGGGGAGGGTGTTAGACTGGTCAGGCTCAAAGGGAGAGTGAGAGGAGCAAGTTGCATGAGTGCATGCAGACATGATTATTTTTTACTAACTTCATTAGCATTTCCATACATTGTTTTTAAATAAATCATTGTACTATCAGTCCTTAAATTCCTAATTCACAGTTATTCACTCAGATGGAAAAAGCCAACAATGGCCCTTTGCCCATGTATTTTACAGATGTCCGAATCTGAAAGAATACAGAGCTGCCATAAAGTTTGTTTTGCTCCGGCTGTCCGAGCAGGACTGTCTCCATCCCAGCTCTGTTCTAATTGGCTTTTAGGCCCATTGTCTATCAGAGTCCTTGTGTTTGTGTCTGCCTGCGCCACCTCCATGCTTGCTTAACATCCTGTTGCATGTGTAGAGTGATCGGGCCTGACTTTCGAGGCATGTCTGTGTAATCGCTGGTTTCTTGTCAAAGCCTGCGTTTCGTTTTACATTCGTGGTGCAATCGTCTCGTCAGACATCTCCAGCACTAATGTTTCATCGTAGTGTGTGCGTGTGTGCTGCTATAACTTCCCACTGCGAACATTCCAGTTTTGGCATTGTGAAGAAGTAGTCTGTGAACTTGAAGTATTTATGACAAGAGAAAGAAAACATCTCTGCTCTAGCCTACAGCCCAATTGAAAGAACTCTTTGAAACCTGATCCATCTCCAGCCCCTCAGCCTGGGAAGACTCGTAGTCCGCACTGAACTCCTGGCATAGTAAGCACCGAAGATCCTCGCCACCTCTCGACAAAGGACTGTTGTCAAAAGTCAGCTGCTTCCATTCGAATGCTGCCTTACTCTCGAGTGCCTCAACCTGTTCGTTGCCAACACCACCACTACAGTATCCCACAAAGGGCTTTAAGTGTCAGCTCAGTGCGACCTCCTTTAACGGCGGCCCTGCCCTGCTGCAGCTGCTGCCGACGTAGCCTCGGTAGGTGGCTTTTAGAGCTCCACCGTGTACCATGGTGCATCTCTACATTTGTGCATCAAACTAAAGACAAGTCCATTTTACTTGGTGTTTTTATGAGAAGTTTTATGGACCTCCCTCCACTGTCTTTTAATTTGGGGTTATGATGATATCATTTGATTATTACAATGATAGTCTGTTTCCAAGTGATGCTTTTGTTCAAACCAGATAAATTTTAGTGAAACTTTGTAATGATCTCTGTGCACTTTTACTTGTAAAATGGGAATTTCTATATGTTCATACTTGTAAATATCATTGTCCTTAGTGCCCTTATTGCTCATGTTTGTCCCGCCTCGCATTTGTGATTCTGTTAAGGACTTGTATCTTAACTAATTTCTTAGTGCTGTTGTAAGGAAGATGGGTGGGGGCGGGGGGGTTATTTGTACCGCTGAAGCATCATTAATTTGGTCCTTTACTGTCTTGAGGGGAGAAAGAGAACGTGAAATGGTCTGTGCATTACTGCATTTTAAGCAATATTTTAGAGGCTGTGTGACTGCTTTAATAATTTTCTTCCCAGTGTTATTTGAATCATACTACCAGCTGTACTAAAGCTGAATGACAATTGTGTGAGAGTTAATGCCTTCATAAGATCCAAGTACACTACTGTTACACAGCTGACATACCGTGTATTACCTTTGAGGCTAGTGAACTATAACGTTTAGATATTGAATCTCGTTACAGGGTTATTTATATAATACGACATTTTATTCAATACTGACCGACTACATGAAGTAGTTTTAAAATCTAGTGCTATTTTTATTTTAAAGGTTAGCAATGAGGAGGAAATGTGATCTGGCTGTGTTTGTCTTCTGTACAAAGCCTGAAGTGCTTACGTGTTTCTGGCTAACAGCCACAGAGGGCAAAGTTTAAGGCTTTCTTGTAAGGACTAACTGTTCTTTTCAAGCTACTGTTTGTTTTTCTAAAAGCAGGATTTGCTTCCGTAGGAGGCAAGTTCCTTTACATGGAATAGTGCAACCTGTATATGGGTGATTAAAATAGCAAAGACATTTGTACTTGCACAGTTTGAATCATTCCGAAATCATTCTTAAATTTTGAACATGTGATTGTCCAAAAGAAATCTTTAATTTTCCAGTAATTTTTACTCTTTGTGCACATGTTGATTTCTTATGGTAAATGCTTTGTTTAAGGTAGTGTTCTCTGTTGAGAATATTTTCATGGAATAAATCTTTTCATGATCAGTTAAGGTGTAGAGTGTGTTACCTCTTTTTTGCTATGTGAATCAAAGAGACGTAATGATTTTGTTCATCAGTGTGCTCAATTTAAGGTAATACAATGTAGATGATGAGTTCCATAAGAGGGGCAATGTAATGTTTTTTGGAAATTTTATTCTACTTTTAGTTTCTCTCACGTTTTCCTAAGGAAACAAACTAACTACGACTTTTTTAAAAAGGTTTTTAAAATTTTTTTTTATTTGAAAGGAAGAGTTACAGAGAGAGGGAGAGACAGATCATTCATCCGCTGGATCACCCCCCAGCAGCTGCAACAGCCAGAGTTGGGCTGGTCAGGAGCCAGGAGCCTCTTCTGGTCTCCCACGTGGGTGCAGGGCCCCAAGCACTTGGGCTATCTTCTACAGTCTTCTCAGGCACATTAGAGGGAGCTGGATCAGAAGTGGAACAGCCAGAACTCGAACTGGCACCCACTATGCAAACATGCCAGCCCTAAACTAATTCTTCAGAATGAGTTTAAATTGCATGTAATAATTTGTATGTAACTTTGTTCATTAACTACCTTGTACAGACTTTGCTTTTATATTGTCTTATCATCTGTGTCCTTAAGAACTGCCCCTGGACCAGATAGCATGATCTAACAGCCACAGGCTGGCCAGCATTTCCTGTGATTCCTCTTGAATCCTGACCAGTTAGTGAGAGCCCTGTGTCTTGCCGGCACTTGAAGTGTGGAAAGAGAACACTTACTGTAAGTCGTAAGTCATGACGTGTCTGTCACTTTGGAAATCCTAGTTTCAGAAGACTGAAATAAAGACCAAAAACTGTGACTTTAGACTTTCAGAAACCTGAAGAGGGAATAAAACTCAGGGTAGATCCTGAACAAGGAGAGGTTGCTGTTGTTGAGATGGCGATTTAGAGATCAGTGCCAGGCTTGGAAGTAGGGTCACACAAAACAATGAAGATAGCAGGAAAGTGGTGTCAAGTGTTACATGGCAGATGAACAGAGGTTTGGGGAAAAAGAAGCTCAAAACAATTAAAAGGCTTTTACTATCTCAGCTAAGATCAGGGAAGTCCAATCCTACTTGCTAAGGAAAGATAAGTTCTTTACAAGAATAATAACAAAAAGAAGAGGTACCCTAGCTTGTTGAAAAGTATTTTACTTGGAAAAGATATTCAAATGAAAAAATAACACTAAACCCGTTCTGATGAGTTCATGTACCTAGTATCAAATATACAAGGGGACTTCAAACAGCTCATGGAAAAATGGAATTAGAAGGTATTTATTTTGTTGTAAAAATTTTTTAAGATTTTATTTTTATTATTTTTTTAAAGATTTATTTTATTTATTTGAAAGAGAGAGAGAGAGAAAGAGGTCTTCTATCCATTGGCCGCAATGGTCGGAGCTGTGCCAATCTGAAGCCAGGAACCAGGAGCTTCTTCCAGTCTCCCATGTGGGTGCAGGGGCCCAAAGACTTGCGCCATCTTCTGCTTTTGCAGGCCATAGCAGAGAGCTGGATGGGAAGTGGAGCAGCCGGGACTCGAACCGGCACACATATGGGATGCTGGCGCTTCAGACCTGGGCTTTAACCTGCTGCACCACAACGCCGGCCCCAAGATTTATTTTTTTATTTATTTATCTGACAGAGTGGGGAGTTGGGGGAGCTCCCATCCATTGGTTCACTCCCCAGATGGCTGCAACAGCCAGGCAAAAAGCCAGGAGCCTGAAACTCCATCTAGGTCTTCCATGGGAGTGGTAGGGGCCCAAGTACTTGGGTCATCTTCTGCTACTTCTGTAGACACATTAGCAGGGAGCTGGATCAGGAGAGCAGTTTGAGGGACCTGTGCTGTGATGTAGTAGATTAAGCATCTGCTTGTGGTACTGGCATCCCATATGGGTGCTGGTTCGAGTCCTGGCTGTTCCACTTCTGATACAGCTCCCTGCTGATGGCCTAGGAAAGCAGTAGAAGATGGTCCAAGTGATTGGGCCCCTGCACCTGCATGGGAGACCTGGAAGAAGCTTCTGGCTTAAGATCAGCTCAGCTCTGGCTGTTGCAGCCATTTGGGGAGTGAACCAGCAGATGGAAGACCTTTCTCTCTCTCTCTCCCTCTCTCTCTAACTCTGTCTCTCAAGTAAATAAATAAATCTTAAAAAAAAAATCTGGATGCCAGTATCAAATGTCAGTGTCACAAGTGGCAGTTTAACCCGCAGTGCCAACTCCTGCAAAAAAATTTTTTTAAATTCGTGCATAGTGACAACTTTTCATTGTTTTGAGCTTTCATTTTACCACGAATAACAAAGATCCCTTGTGTTCCTGAGTACAGTCACTGTCAGTAACTAGGGAAACTATAGGAAATAAGAGAGGCACCACAGGACTGGGGAATGGACAGACAGAAATTCCGAATAGTGCATTCTGGGAAGCTTGACAGCAATACTTGAAAGTACCAGATAATGTTGTTAGCATTTAGGGGAAAATGTAATGGGTAACTGACCTAGGCGCCTAAGTCATGTCAAACTAGCCTCATTCCTTAAAAAAAAAAAAAAAAAAGATTTATTTATTTGAAAGGCAGAGGCAGAGAGAAAGTCTTCCATCCGCGGGTTCACTCCCCAAATGGCCGCAGTGGCTGGAGCAGGGCCGATCTGAAGCCAGGAGCTTCTTCCAGGTCTCTTATGTGGGTACAGGGGCCCAAGGACTTGGGCCATCTTCCACTGTTTCCCCAGGCCATAGCAGAGAGTTGGATCGGAAGACGAACAGCTGGGACTCGGCTTTACCTGCTATGCCACAGTGCCAGCCCCAACCTCATTCCTTTTATTAGATAAAAAGGAGCACTTTTTTTGGTTTTGTTTAGACTTATTTATTTGAAAAGCAGAGTTAGAGATCGTTCTTCTATCTACTTGTGTCTCACCCCCCCCCCCATCCCCCAATCGCTGCAATGGCCAGGGCTGAAACCAGGAGCCAAGAGCTACATCTGGGCTCCCAAGTGGGTGGCAGGGATCCAAGTACTTGGGCCATCTTCTGTTGCCCAGGGGAGCTAGATCAGAAGTGAAGCAGTCGGGACTCAATCTGGCATTCATATGGCATGCCAGTGTCAAGTGGCAACTGAGCCTACTGCATGTACACGTGCTGGCCTCACAAATGGGTACTTTTAATATATGCCTCCATTTCACCACAATTTCAATTGGATTAGATTCCTCACTCACATTTGTAAGATGATGGCAACTTTGTAGTAGAGAACAGGAGGTTGCAACAAGCTGATTTGGTAAACCCAGGATGTCAACTCTAAGGAGAGTTTCTTGTGGAAAATACATATACGTCTGGGGCTGGCTGTGTGGCACAGTGGGTTAATGCTCTGGCCTGAAGCGCTGGCATCCCATGTGGGTGCCGGTTCTAGTCCCGGCTGCTCCACTCCTGATCCAGCTCTCTGCTATGGCCTGGGAAAGCAGTGGAAGATGGCCCAAGTCCTTGGGCTCTTGCACCTGCGTGGGAGACTTGGAAGAAGCTCTTGGCTCCTGGCTTCAGATCAGCACAGCTCCGGCCATTGTGGCCATCTGGGGAGTGAACCAGCAGGTGGAAGACTCACTCTCTCTCTCTCTCTCTCTCTCTGCCTCTCTTCTCTCTGTGTATATCTGGCTTTCAAATAAGTAAATAAAAATAAAATACATTTACGTATGTTGTGAACCATAGTAAAATAAGCAAATCTGTACACAACTTTAACAACAAACTGCCGCTGCTGCCTCTATTTTTTTTTTTTTTTTGACAGGCAGAGTTAGAGAAAGGTCTTCCTTTTTCCATTGGTTCACCCCCCAAATGGCTGCTACGGTCGGCACGTTGCGGCCAGCGCACTGCACCGATCCGAAGCCAGGAGCCAGGTGCTTCTCCTGGTCTCCCATGCAGGTGCAGGGCCCAAGGACCTGGGCCATCCTCCACTGCACTCCTGGGCTACAGCAGAGAGCTGGCCTGGAAGAGGAGCAACCGGGGCAGAATCTGGCGCCCCGACCGGGACTAGAACCCGGTGTGCCAGCGCTGCTAGGCGGAGGATTAGCCTAGTGAGCCGCGGCGCTGGCCCACTGCTGCCTCTAAAGGTAACCATCGTCTTGGGCTCTTTCTCTTTGCAGTTTTACCACATGGGTACTTTTTCCTAATGCTGATTAGCTTTGTTTCCAGCTCTGTAAGGATCGTGTCTGTGGAGACACTGTGAGAATCAATGCACACTGACAGATAGCTATAGTGTATGCTAAATATTGGAATATGTACATGTTGGTAAACAATAACTCAGAAAAGCAGTAAACTTTGTTAATCCTGTGAGTTGTAGTACATGTGGTTGGTTTCAGACACCACACGTGACCTGTTGTGAGCACTGTGGGCAAAGCTGGGCTTGCTACAGATTTCCTGTTACTTACGTCAGGAGTTGGTAGGAGAGGGCCCTGGGCAACCAAGCGGAAGGGACTGACTCTTCACCCCCTGGAGATGCTTCAGTGGAGGCCACGCCATCTCTGAGCTGTGGGAGCGGCTGGGGAGGCTGGGAGGGAGCATGTGCGGATGCAGGTGCTTGCGTGGGCACAGGCCCTGGTGCTTTTCTTGAGTTTTGGCTTTATTTGGCCATTTATTCTGTGACGGAGCGGCCTGCCTTGTAACTAGCAGGTATGAGGAGGGGAACTTTACCAGGGAAGACTTCTCCTCCTCCTCTTGGCTGAGCTCTAGACAGGAGCGTCATGGTTGCCAGCCCTCCCACCTCCACAAGTCCACCTCTCCTCTCGCCTCGGGCAGACCCAGCCGTACCGACTCGGGGCCAGCAAAGCCCTTGGCACAACTGCCTGCTGTTTTCATTCTCCCTTCTTCCCTCTCTGCCTTTGTCCTGCATCGTAACTGGCATCCAGCCAGTTGAGTGGTGGTTTTGTGATTGGCCAGCATGGGAGACAGGGTCTGGGTGTGCAATGAGACAAAGACAAGCTCCCAGTTCTGGCAGTCCACGAGTGGCATTCTTCACCCACCCCACTCTCCCTCCCTCCCTCCCTTTC